GGTCCCCTTTCTATACAATTTATTTAAATCAATTAGAACGTATACAAAAGAAACTTATAGATCACCTTAACTATCGTTTGCGTAAGCCAGCCGTGACCTACCGTCAAAGTTGTAAGGCCCACGGCTTGTTGACTCTTGAGGACAGACGTATGGTCCTGGACATGTGTTTGTTGTATGATACTATAAATGGCCACATTGATAGTGCCGAATTGGTCTCGAAAATAGTATTTAACACTCCGTTACGTCGCACCCGACATATACGCGTATTTCGCGTACTTATAATAATTTTTTCAACGAGATTGATCTCTTCTCGTGTTCAAAACGACTATTCAAATCCAAAATTTCTAACGTTTTGAGTGGACAGTGTAAATAATGTACAATAATTTTATGTGGTATCACATTTTGGACTTATGTACTAATTGAATATTATGCTATGTCAACTTTTCATGTTTTCCTTCGCATGCTGGATATATAGTTTTTTTTAGTTAACCAGGAAAAACTGTTATTAGCCAAACTATCTGTGTATGTTATTAAGTTATAAAAAATAATTGTATCGCTGTTGTTTTTCAATAAATAAATAAATAAAATAAAATAACATTACTTACGACTAAGTTTGTGTCGTGATTCTTAGCGTCACATCGTATGCTACTACAGCAAGTATGTGTAGCGCCTTTGTGGCCCTGTATGCGGCATCTATTAGGGAGTAATGTGATATTAGCACAATAAAAAATCAAGAATTCAATAAATTTGTAATGAAACATCGCATATTTTGTTAATTAGTGAAGACCAACCAGATAAATTACGTACGGTAACTTATCAACTACTTGATAAAGCATTCACAATAATAATATCATTTGAGATGTGCGTAACCCAGTTTGACACGTTCAGCATGTTTTGCGTAGCATGAAGACTCTTAAAGCTTGTCGCGCTACATTCTACCAAGCCTATCAAACACCTATCTGGTTTGGCACCGACTTCAAACAGACTAGAAGGGAATAGTCCCTTCTAATCTTTGTCAGTATTCTTTGAAGACGGTACAACTAAAAAAAAGGAATTTATTGGTTATGCAATAAATCTAAGTAAGCTTATATGTAATTATGTTTCATTAATGATAGCAGGGTACTTTGTAATAATCGCAAGTTTGATGCTATCGAGTTGTTGTTGTTGTTGTATGATGCCCAGTATAATTTTAATGCGAAACGATTATTGCGAAGGCATTTTGTCTCTTACAGATTACAAATAAGTTCAGTTGCCGCTAAAGTTATCAACAAGTCTCGAAGATCGAGATCGAATATGCTCTTTAAGTGAAATACACATTTCTCTTGATGATTTCTTAAACAGTCTGCCCTTGTGTACAGCCGTAGTATTTTTTTTTTTTTTTTTTTTGAAATTCATTTGCATAAAATAGGGTGTGTAAGTAGAATTCAGTAGGAGATTTGCTAAACTAAATGCTAACACAAATAAGTATGTAAAATATCTATGTGCAACAAAGTGTAGTCAGTCTGTGATAGGTATGCCTGTCTTACTCCCTTCAGTTCACCAATTAAGCGCAGTTTGACATCGTATCGATTTGAATTCGGTTAAATCACAAATCTACATTCTGTGATTTAATTAACAATTAATCCTCTCATCCTCATACTGGTCCAGTATTAAATTCAGTTTCGGACCAACATTTTAATTTCATGTGGATGACACTAGTTTGCGTTACAAATTAAAATGTCGACAATCAGGGTTTTATTTTAAAATTTCTGCAATCAGGGTTTATTTTAGATTTTTGTGTTTTACCTAGACTAATATTGATTTTCATTATATTGTTTACCTCTCATACATGTAGATAAATGATGGTCATGATCGTAACATATGATTTGGGGCCTTCTAACATAAATTTAAATCGAAATGATGATATTATAAGAATGGTGTATAGAAAACGTTATTTGTCGTGATAAGTGTTGTGTTAAATATGAAGACTTCTCTGAAAGACTCCAACACTTCTTTCTAATACAAATCAATGTGTCGGTAGTGAATTATACTATTTTGATTATGATACTTCAGATATCATGAGTGTCGTATTACGTAAGTAGCAAGAAATTTAAGACCAAAGTAAGTGAGAATATATTACTTTTAAACATTTGCTAGCTAATTATTGTGATACGGACAAGATGTTAATGTTTTCTCTTGCAACAAGTTCAAACTTATTATTATCGAGAACAGTTGCCCTTTAGGCTTCAACCATCGAGATTCCTTTCTGTCTGCAGATTTGAATTAATGACCACGTAACATTGGATCTGAATTTGGCAAAAACAACTAAAGATTATTTTAATTAATTTCTTTTTTTTGTAAAATATGCAGGGCAACATTCACTTTGCCCATTATTTATACCACAGCAATCTTAATCCATCACAATACGACTCTCAAAAATACCTCAGGCGTATGCGCTTTTCGAACGCTCCTAACTAGTATTCTTGACGGACCCTTTAGTTTCTTGTCTACATTCTATACAATATACTCTTTTTTCATTGATAAAGCTCCTATAAAAGAGCCTATCAAAAATATGCACGGCGTTCATGCTACAAAAAAGCACATAGCCCTGAAACTACTAAGTAATTTTATTTCCAAACATCTCCTGATTTCTAGTGTTTGAAAATTATTACAAACTGCAATATATATCATTATCTTTACTGAGATTACGAGTTTCTTTTGTAATTTGACTTATAGAAGTAAATGCTGGTGAACAATAATTGTCAAACCTACACAAATTTAAGAGAGTATAAATAGATGACTCTCATGGACATATTACGGTCCAAAGGTTGATCAGAGTTTAATTTGTAAAAAAAGAGACATAGCTACGACATTTGCCTAGTTCATTGTTCGGGGGCGTTGGCTCACGCTAATGTTGTCGGCCTAGCAACGTTCTCTACTTCCAATGTACCATTCACCTCTCACCGGAGCGTGTACGGTTATGTTGCATGTGACCACACCTTATATTATTCGTTAGTTTTAAAATCTTACTTCTCTTCACAAATACTACAAATTTTACCATAATCCATATAACTATAACAGCGTACTCGTATTTTTTCTCACGGCTGTTTGCTGCAAAATGATATCACTGTTATTTCAAACATTATTTTATTAACAACTCAGCGTATGTGATTGTCTATAGGTACGCGCTATACGTTTAAATATAACATTGCGTTTATTCTTGGAAATCGTACACTAAATACACTTCGAGCTGGTTTTCTCGTTTTATACGAAAAGTCGCAGTCTCAGTTGCAAAGTCGGATGAAACCCATGTAGGGTAAATTAATGAATTAAACAATTCCTGTATGGGTACCCATTACCATGTAGTTAATATTATTTTATATTTATTATGAAAGTGAAAATTCGGCAATCAATTTAGGGCAGCGGTATATGTTTGCCTGCACGTGATTGGTGACAAAGCGTCACAAAGTTATTATACAGTCACGTGTCTCCACTATTTGTTTACCGTCCGCCACATGAACTGCCAGATATCTCACTATCGGTCAAATACCAATAGACACTTCGGCCGCCGTAATGAAAATAATATCGCCTGCATTTTAAATTTTAATGTAATTACCAGTACTTGATAGCGATTAATTTTAGTTGTAGTGTGTTAAGCGACGATCTATTTCACCCTGCTATTAGTTAATGCATATGGTGGTATGCTAGTTTAATAAAAGCATTTTTAATGAAAATTTTGATGCAAATAAGTTTGCAAAGTGACCCATATTAATACATTATGTATGTATAAGTATGAACGATTTATATATATATATATATATAAATCGTTCTATTGTTTAGTAAACAAACACCAATATTTATAAATGTTGGTGATTGCTTACTAAACGCTGCTGCAACCATACCATACTGAAGTACGTATGTGTATGTGTCAATACAAGAAATATTCTTAACATTATTCCTATCTTCCTCACTCTCATAGCAACTGGTTAAGTCATTTTTTCTTAACCTGTGCTATATACCTAAATATACATATAATATTTATAGGAATGTATTACACAACGATTGACCAATGCCAAGCAATATTTTACAGTGTTGAGCCTAACAACAGTTCGAAGAAGTAGTTAAGAGGCACTTGAGGGAACGCATTCACTACCTTTCACTTCCCACTTTTGTCATGCAATCGCTCTAGGCTACGGAAAGGCAGACGGCCTTGTAGCTGATTACCTTACAGGCCTACCTTTCCATCCTGCATATGGTGTATGTCAGGTAACCTATCCTGCTGCCGACATGACACATGACCGTTACCGTATTAATGTGTTAGTAAAATCACCTCTCTACATACCGATATTGCCCTGAATGATAAATACATGTCACACTAATGGGTAAATACAATTCACACTAATGGGTGAATGGCTGTATTTAAACCTTTATTCATAATAAATTATTTACTGCGATAATTCTGCCTTTAACACCACTATTGTCGTTCTCTATGACATCAGATTCAATTGTCCACAATTCGAATGAAATGCGCTTTACAGCAGTAGATATCTACGTCTCTTAATATTTGGAAATGATTTTGCAAACATAACCTGCAGGACGAACAAAGCTATTAAGGAATTACCTAGCAGTTACATGACATCATATTAAATAAAAAAATAAACATCAATTAAATAAACTTATTAACAAGAAGCAATCGTAGAACATTCGCATGTGTTGTCGGAACGAGGTTCCATGGCCGTGTTAACCTTGGCTTTTGAGCGGTGACTTTCACGGTTAGACGACCGCAGCGTTACATAAGATGTACTCCGCAGCCGACGCCCGCATCTGCTATGACGACACTGCCACCACTCACCGGTCACTAGGAAACCGGTTCTGTCGAACTTTGAAAATACTGATTTGAATGCTGTTTATTTGGTGCTAGAGCTGAATGAGTAGGGTTCCATGTGTTCGTGAAAAGTTGCCGCCGCATTTATCTCTTAGAGTGTTATGTTTGTGTTAGTACAATCCTTTTTTATTTCCAGGTACAAGAGCGGGGTGCGCTCAGTGAGGGCCGTGGTCGCCGGCGGCGGCGCGGAGGAGGCGCGACGCGGCGGCCTCAAGGCGCTGCCGAAGCGCGCCCGCACTCGCTGCAGGGGTATGAACATGGGGCAAAAGCTGTCCGGCGGAGTCAAGTCGGTGTCGCGCGAGTGCACGGCGCCCTTCAAGGCGGTAGTGGCACGCGAGCTGGCACCCGAGCCGCCGCGGCCTGCGCGTCTCGACGCGCTTCTCGATGCACCGCCAGCGCATCCCGACGCGCAGCTCAAGCACGCTTGGAACCCTGATGATAGGTCAGTAGTCATACTATGCAGCCTGTTGTTCTAGAGACAGTTTTATGTCAATCTTCAATAAAAGTTGCAATAAACTACTTTTTTGTTTACTCTCTCTTCTCGCTGCAAAGAATTAAAGTATTTTCATCCAGGGTTCTGACTATTGTCAATCGCTATGCACTCGATATATATATATATATATATATATATGTTATATATATGTTTCAGATCACTAAATATTTTCGTAAAAGAAGAAGACGCATTAACGTTCCACCGGCACCCTGTAGCGCAAAGCACAGACTGTATTAGGGGTCGCGTCGGTTACTCGCGAGGTCTCCACTGTTGGGAAGTGGTTTGGCCGGCGAGGCAAAGAGGCACGCATGCGGTCGTCGGTGTAGCAACCTCACACGCGCCTCTTCATTCCGTCGGCTACCAGAGTCTAGTTGGAGCTACGGACCAGAGTTGGGGCTGGGATTTGGGCAGAAATAAGGTAAATTTAAAAAAATGATAAAATCAAATGTTATTGTCCGAAAAATATGTCCTAAAGCGAAGGCGACCTCCAAAATTAAATGCAACATAAACAACGTATTGTTTTAGATATAATCCACTACAAGTCGATTTTTTTAACTACTGAATATAGTTGTAAGTAAAATTTAGGTTTTTTTTTGTTAACGTGATGGAACATCCTCATGGATATCCGGACTCTTAGCGAGTAAAAACCACCCCGGCTTTGCTTTCCTTGCCCATGGTCTAGGGAGCGATAATCCCAATTGCATTCGTCCGCCAAATATTTAGGTCTAAGTATAATTATACTTTTATGTTTTAACCCATTTGTGTCCAAATACAACATGCAGTGGAAATTTAAAAAAAAATTGGTAGAAACTAGTATTATTATAAACCAAATTAGGAAATTAAAAATTAGTTTTCTTCATTTAAAAAAAACCTTCCTCAAATGGGAGGAGTGGGCTTAAATAGTGAAAATTTTGAACAATTTCAGTCCATAAAGTTTTCGCACACTTTTGCAGTTTCAACTTAACGTATTTTTACGACCCACGCCACAACGCAGTTCTTTGGTAAAGTTTTTGAGATTAGAAGCCAGTACCTTTGGTTATGAATTTACTAGCAAATTACAGTTAGAAGGTACAGGCGCCATGTGCCAGCTAGATCGGACATATACTTGAACAAAACCCATTACATAACACTAGCATTTTTTTGATATACCAATAACATTACGATGTAGTGAAACTTATTGATCACTAGTGATCACGACTAGTTGGTAACGTCTCGTTTAAAATGAAAATAGTTGATTTATTCAAACATTTAAACACTTAAATGAGGTCTTTGTTCGATCAAAAGTATTTTTGTAGTAGGACAGTACACTGCAGGGATATTTACGGGGCCAGTTAGTTACATTAAACTAAATCAAGGAATATAACTTACTCCGAATGAGAAAGTTCCGTAAACGTTTTGAGGATCTTGCAGGTGCAAAAAGTTAATATACAAATGAAAAAAAAGATCGACAACGTTGACTGAAAATCACATTTTAATTGTGTTGCAGGTGTACCATAACGCGAAAGGCACTGGGGGGAGTGGCACGACGTATCCGGCCCTTTTACGACCGGATGAGCAGTTCCTAGTACCTGACAGATTATTAGTCGTTCTAGACATGGATGAGGGCACACTCGCGTTTTGCGCAGACGGGCGCTATCTCGGAGTAGCCGCAAGAGGTCTTCGGGGCAAGACGCTCTACCCTATTGTATCCGCTGTGTGGGGGCACGCGGAAATCACTATGAAGTACATCGGCGGGCTGGACCGTAAGTCTAGTTTAGTTGTTATCTTTATTGGAAATCATGTCATTTGAGGATACTGAAATTATTTCAACTATGAGTTGTTGAGGGCTTTGGTGATTAGTCCGCGCTGTGATTTGCTGAACTTAACAGGAAGTAATAATAATATATTAATAAAATTTTGGACATCTGACACACAACGCCATCTAGTTTCAAACTAAGCAGAGCTTGCACTATGAAAGCTAGATTGACTGATAGAATGCTTAAATACATACATACTCTACATATTGGTCTTGGACTATCAGTATTGGAGAAAGAGGCAAGGCCATCGTCTACCACCCAACGAGAATCCTCTGTGTAACCAGAGGAGGCTCGTTATCTCATAATAAGGGATATCTTTCCTAAATTCTCATTTTTTATTTTATTGAGAGACCACAGGCAATGTATGTACATATATTTATTATATACGGTGCTGTGTTTATATTTAGAAAAATCTATCTCCGACCAAAACGTATTGCGTATTGCATATTGGTTTTCGATTGATATATATATATATATATATATATATACAGCCTTGGCCAACAGTATTAGGCACCCTACATTTTACTTAAAATAAAGGAAAAAAACAACTTATACTTTTTGAATTGATTTATTACCATTAAATTACACAAAAAAAGAATGAAAAAAACTTAAAATCTAGTCGGTCCACCTTTGGATTTAATTACTGCACTAATTCTAGCGGGCATGCTGCGTACAAGCTAAGTACAATCCTCCCTTGTAATGGCATGCCATTCTTGTACTAACGCATTTTTAAATGCCGTTTTCGATGTGATGCTATGCTCTTTAATCTTGCGCTTCAAAATGCTCCAAAGATGTTCAATTGGGTTCAAATCTGGTGACTGCGCCGCTGGCCAATCAAACAAGTCAATGTTGTTTTCAGTAAACCAACGCATCGTAGTCGCTGACTTATGACAAGGTGCATTGTCTTGCTGAATTATAACTCCCTCTAAGTTGGTATCGCCGAAAATACTCGTTAGCGAAGGCATAAGCGCAGTTTTAAGCACTTTTATGTACTTTTCGCTGTTCATACGACCTTCGCAAACAAGCATTTAGCCAACCCCATCAGTAGCCATGCAGCCCCAGATCATTATGCTGCCTCCTCCATGCTTTACTGTCGGTACGACGCAATCTGGATGGTATTCTTCGCCAACACGTCGCCCCACGAAGGTCACAACTGGCGTTCCAAATATCTGTTGAAAAAAGAAAAAAAGCACCTTTTTTTAAACTGCCTTAACTTTTATTATTTTAGTTAAATAAATAACTGACCATGATTATTAATAACAAAAGCAGTAAAATTTACTTACCTCAAAGTTAGATTCGTCAGACCATACCACATTGGCCCAATCTTCCTCAGTAAAATGTTGATGCCGTAGAGCCCATTCAAGTCGTTTTCTTTTGTTAGCTTCTGAAAGCCAGGGCTTCTTCCTGGCTTTGCATCCTTTTAAGCCTGCTTCTCCAAGTCTTCTTCTGGTGGTCCGAGCACTTATTGGCTTTCCAGCCTCTTCGGACAAAGGAGCAGCAAGCTCTGATGATGTTTTCTTCCGATCTTTCATAGATTCGCGTATTAATTTTCTGTCCTCGCGCTTCGAAGTCACACGTTTTCTGCCTGTTCTTTATTAGCGTGACTGCCAGTCTCAGCAAACCGTTTGATAGCAGATTGCACAGCGCAACGTGAACATTTCAATAACTTAGCAATTTCTTTTTGCGACTTCCCTTGTCGAAGAAGTGAAATTAGTTTGGAAAACCGAGTAAAAATACAACTTTTTCATGAGGAAAAGTTGTATTTTTACTCGGTTTTCCAAACTAATTTCACTTCTTTTCGGCATTTTTAAATAAATTACGCGTCAATTTAATCACTATGTTAGAAATAAAAGCTTGTTTACTCGTTAGAGTCCTGAACACAAGTGACCAAACATTGACTGATAAGAACGCATAAAAACAAATCCTTTGTTTTCAGTCACCAGGTGTTTTATGACCATAACAGATAGCGGCTTGCTTTCCTAGGAAGTTATTTGTGACTCCGGCATGCCATCTAAGATAAGCATTTATTCATTGTTCAATCAGTAAACATTAATTGTGCATTTTTCTGGGGTGTCTAATACTTTAGGCCAAGGCTGTATTTAATCGTGCTTAAATTAGGGTTTAAGAAACTTTATTCTCATAAAGAATCACATATTCAGTTACATAAGAACACATTTGAATGAGATATAGTCATTTGCCGAGCGGCGTAACACTTATGCAAATTTCAAAATAAGGGATACACAATTGACACTTAAGAGATATATATTTATGGTTCTGCCTATAGAAACGGCCTGAATAGCCGTGATGATTGTGAAATTTAATGTTTTAAACAAATTTTATTTGGATCGCGTAGGCGAGACTGCTCAGGTACAAACCTTTCATATTTATCACAATAATAATTACAAAGTTCAATACTTTTTCTATTGCCATTCGATGTTCGGATCGAACGGACCGATCATCACGAGTGATCTTATTTTCTTTAAAATCATTTAGAAACTTAAAAGATAAAAAGATTCTGGTCGGTCGGATCGTCTCTCGCAAAGGACAAGGAGCAGGGTACTGAACGGCATACGTATGTTGCAGCGGAGCCTCTGCCTCTGATGGAGCTGTGCCGACGCGTGATCCGCCAGCGCGTGGGGCGCGCGCGCCTGCGGGGCGCCGCGCCGCGCCTGGCGCTGCCGCCCGCGCTGAGCGCCTACCTGCTGTACCGCGCGCCCTAGCCGCGCCGCCGCCCGCCGCCCGCCGCCCGCGGACTGTGTGTGGCCGAGTGTGGCGCGAGTTACACGAACTGATCCCCGCGGGCGCGAAACCCCGATCGCGATAGCGATGCCGACTAAATACAAAATATAACTTATCGTAAGCACCCGACAGATCTGTAAGCGTTAGATTTATTTAAAATTGTTTGCCACCCTAACCCCCCGCACGATTCCATCGCGAATACTCTTACTTTTATTTTAACGTTATCTGTGATAATATTACTTTAATGGCAATTGAAATCAACTTCCGTTTCAGTGAATTCGATGCATTCGTTTCTAATAACTGTGTTATTGCGGTGACGGGGTTGTGTACTATCGACCTGAACGTTCTGTAAAGTTACTGATGACGAACAATGTACCGTTCTGTTACCGAAAAATTGACAATTTATATATGATAATATATATATAAGGTAGATATGGCATTAGATAATGCCGAAGTCTATGTTAACATTGTTCAGCTCCAATACAAGCCGCATAAAGCCATAATGATCTCTTTATAGCACGTTCTCTGTTGAGCCCAGATTACTCGACCGGTATGGACACAGAGAATTTAATTTGTTAATAAATACTTTAGAATGAAAAACTGCAAATTATGATAACTCACGAGCCTCGGCCGTTGCTAATACATAATTTAAAGTTGTTGTCATTATCCTTATAACAATAGCATTACGTCGGGCCGTGTCCCTTCGGCCCGAAATAGGCCAGTGTATCGTTGGCAATTTATTTTATAGTTCATTTAGCGACTGGTTTACATTTAGTTGATTATCTATAATTCCTATTGTAAAAATGCGTGCGTGTGAGTGTTTGTGTACTGTATATATTATACGACACATTTCAAGCACATGTGTCACCCAGGAATAGTTATAATATTTTGGAGCAATTTTATTTCGTTTGTAGGTTATATAGACTGCTATTACGCAAAATCGTGTCTCCACAATGTCTTCTTTTGCGACAATTAGACTTATAGGTATTAATACATCAATTCCTGAATATAGTAAGTTTCAAAAGCACTATAACAATTTGTCAGCCATTTTGATCCAATTAGTTGTATCTTAACCTTTATAAAAATGTGTAAGTACTTCCATTTTTAATAAGATTTTTTCATATGTAGGTTGTACGGCAAGGTAGGCATCCCAAGTGGAGCTCAGTTTTATAATGGATTTGATATTCACATTCTATCTCCAACAACTGAATGTTATGCATTTCATGACGAAAATTTTTAAGTGGTTAAGTAGACATACGAGTATAATACGAGCTCGTTAATTATAAAGTAGTTGAGTTTTATGTGAATATTGACGAACTGTGAGAATGACTATGAAAACTGCCAAATGCGACGTGTGTGAATGTGCCGCGACGTTACGTGTGTGACTTGGGCGTAGTGTGGTGCGAGGATGCGCAGTGTACACGTGTTCACGTGACGTACTCGACGCGTTACGAATATATTTTTCGTTGTATAAGAGATATAATCATGATAATATAAAATACACCAAGCTCGATATATTGTGGACATAAGTCTTTTATGGTAAACCTCTCGAAAGGACCAAGAATTTCCCATTTCAAGCACCCGAGTTCAATTGTTTTATGTGTAATAACTTATCGTTCTGTCGCCCAAACTTCTATCTACATCCTATACATTAGAGGTTTACTGTAAGAGATTAGTGTAATTATTAGCAACAAATAACCTTGTGAATTCTATGAATCGTCAAATTTAGTCTTGTATATATTAAAGATTATCATTTTTGCGGTGTTTAATGACTTTATTGTAAGTGAAAATGCATTTTAGTTTTATAAGTTGTAGGCAATATTTTTAAAATGTCATTTCTAACAGATAACTGCTATCAACAGTCGAATCTCTTAGATACAATGATTAAAAAAAATAGGAAAAACGATTGGAATAATAAATATGGTTAAGAAAATAATAAATGATATAAATTAATAAATACTTTTTATTTCTTTCTTTACATACCTTTAGAATTAGCTATCACAATAATAAACAATTTAATTTTTGTTCGGACGGACAACTCTCATACAACTACATTTCCAGTTTCTAGTTTCTTGTCACTGTTTCAACATCAGCAAACTCTAAAGTTTTACATTTAATAGTTAAAACTCATCGTAGAAGGAGCCTCGTACCAAAGAACACTTCCAAACTTTCTGTACAGACTTAGCCAAAACTGTTTGTTTCAAACAGCAACATTTTCGTAGATATTTAATCCACCTACATACTTCATCTATTACACTTATGATTTTCAAGTTATTGTAGTGCTCACCTAATGATATAAACCTTGCGAATGCCAGAAAACTTAGATCAATTAAAAATACTGTTTAACATAACATCATTAATTACGCACTTCTTTAATACCAACCTAAATGTATACATTATAACTTAAATATAAATCACATTACTCTTCGTGAATGAGAGAAGCATTGCCTTTGGTCACAAAGGTATCTTTAGTCACAAAGAGTATGGTGTTCTAGAACAGTGTCGTCTATAAGAATAGTATTTTCATCGGCGAAATCTTGAGGTAGATCAATTTGCGCAGTCAGCTCCTGAAGACCGCCGATCAGTTCATTTAGCGACGCCTACAAATAAACAGTTCACAAGTTAGAGATTAGAATTTCTTTCATACAATTAAATTTAAAATAAGTGTGATGTGTATTTGTTATACAATACATACGTAATTATCGAAAATTTTAAACTCTCAATTTACTTCGGCATCTCACTAAGCTTATGAATGTGGTTGGATGGAATGATTTCGTAAGCAAAAAGTATTGTAGCTTTTAAATATTAATAGTCGTGATGAAAAAAGTAAGCCAGTCTCCGGTGTCCTAGACACCGGAAGGCTAAGGTACTAATAAGGTCAAAAGCGAAACCCATCACAGGGCTTACATGAACATTTGAATACCGGAAATCGGCAGATTAAGGTACTGAAGAACTACACGAGACAACATCATAGCATCAGTTTCTTTGCTATGTCATTCTAGTTTAGCCATAAGAAACACCTTTCCAATAACTATAGAAAGATACGCCTTGCTCAGCCTTTGTGTAATATAGATATGAATCTCTTGTACATTCAGATTAATACGTTACTTCGTATGTCAGATTACGTCTTTCTCTTCTGACATATCATATCTATAAAAGTTTGACATTATAGAAACGTTTTCATGACCCTGACTTTAAGTATGTAAAATTGTATATAATAATAGGATGCGCTTTAATAGGATACGAGGGCTTTTATTTATGTATCCGAAACTGGCCAGTTACAGAATAATGAAAAAAGTAATTACAACATTTAAAAATGGAACTCTTTGGCTGAACAATGGAATTTGTTTCATGTAGCTGTCATTTTGGTGTTTTTATCACTATGGATTTAACTCGTGAAAATTTTAGCGCTAAGATTTTTTACTATTTTCGGCGAGGGCTAACTCAAAAACAGTGCATCGATCAACTCACTTCGACTTTTGGAGACCAAGCACCATTAAAAACAACTGTGTGTCACTGGTTTAGTGAGTTTAATCGAGGGCAGTCTGTGCTCACGGACTAATAATGCAAGATCGTCATGTTACATATCGCGAGATAGAGGCGTCTCTGGGAATAAATATGACGAGTACATATAAAACATTACAGGAACATTCAGCTGTAAAAAAAATTTGTTCACGTTGAATTCCGCACAACTTGAGAATTGACCAAAAACGGGCTCGTGTCGATTGGTGTAAAAATGTTACAAAAGTCTGTCTGTCTGTCTATAAGATCTGCACAGGTGATGAATCTTGGATATATGCGTAAGACCCTGAAACTAAAGAACAATCAACGGTTTGGGTGTCCAAGATGAGCCGAACCCAACAAAAGTAATTCGTTCAAAAAGCACTTTGAAGCTTGTTTTTTGGTATACGACTATAAATAGACATGTGGCTACACCACATGCATTGTGCCACTAGAGTATCTTACAGCGGTTAATTCTTAATCGTACACGACCATTAGTTTTCCATAAGTCTTTGAAGAAATCGTGACAATGCTAGCTGCCACACATCGGCCGAAACAACTCAGTATTTGGAATATCAAAATGCACACGTTTTGACGATACCATAATGAGAATGGAAAAGTGCTACGACAATTGGTTTCAACGTATGCAATGACAATAAAGCTATAATAAATGCTATGTTTTTTTCAATTTGGTTTTTCTGGATAAATAAATAGCAGCCCTCGTATTCTCTGTGTATTTAACGATTAAAAAAAAAACTTTATAATAGGTCTTGTTGGAGATTTTTAAAACCAGCGTTTTCAGATTTAATCATTGGATTGGTAATTCGAAGTTCAAATAAATTTTATTCGAAAGCCATGTTATTTTAATTAAAAATTCAGTCATTTGTATTAGATAGGGTTTTGTTTTTGCAAAATTGAGGTAGTTTTGGCGCCAAGGATAAACTGAAAATTCCTACAATATCCGAACAACAGCAAAGAGAAGGAAAACTTGAAACAAACCCTATACTAACCCGTCTGGACAGCGTGGTATAGTAGGCCAAAACCTCCTTTCTAAGGAGAGGCCTATGTCCAGCAGTGGACTAGTATAGGCTGTTGATGATCCGAACATGAGTTTCCTACGTGGAAATACCGCTGCGGAAAAATTAACGACGTATACGGGCCTAACACTGCCTGCATAAATACGGTTCATTATTTCTTGAATCATTTTAGATCTGGAGATTTTGAGTAAAAGAACAAGCCTCGCGTTCGGCCGGTAACTATGGTCGACAACGACGAATTAAAGGCGATATTGGAAGCGGATCCAACTCGGGCTGAGCTTGCTGCGGGCTTTGGAGTAAGTGTCAAAAAAATTACCTGCGATGAAAAGTGGATCCTGTACGACAACCGTAAGCGTTCGTACCCGGGTACAGAACTTTCTTGTAAGCCAACCTTTTTTAGGCGCACTAATGTGCGCCTTAAAAAGGTTACCTATGGGTAAACTACATAGAAAGGTGTTTTGGCGATTGTCTGGTGGACTAGTGTGCCGGACTTGTACATCATACCTTCTTACCGCATGGTACAACAGTGACGGCAGATGTCTTTTGCCAAGAATTGCAAACAAAGAAGAGAAAGCGAGAAAGAGAAGCTCGCCATTCAACAAACGCGACTGTTCAATCGCTCTCCCACATTGCTGCTCCACGACAACGCGCGAGCTTACACTTCACGACAGACCATCGCAAAGCAACAAGAGTTACAGCTGGAAGCTCTCCGTCACTCACCGTACTCACTAGACATTGTCCCAACAGATTTCATTTTTTTTTTCAAAATGTAGGTGAGGCCATCTCACCCTAACAGAAGCAGGCAAAAAGGGGAGAGAGGAGCACCAAGGGAACATGGGGGTTCCCACACAGGAGGGGGTCATCTACCCGCCGTAGATGCAACGGGGGTACGTCGGGGTACCAGGGATTTACTTTCTAGGGTACCCCTGGTTCCCCGGCTACCGGTACCCCAGACGGCGTGCGATTTTTAGTCGGTTTGAGTCCGACTTGGCCACCGGTAGGTGGTATCCGAGGGGATCCGAGGGGAGGGAAAAAAAAGGTAAAGACCTAATAATAATATAGTTCTGCGATCTTCTCTTTTTTATATAACAGAAAATGTTAGTTTTATCTGTCCTCAAATATGAGAAACGCAATTTCCCATGACTACGAATATTTATTCCCCGGTGTATTTTATTTAAATAATTATTTTAAGGGCTAGAGTTTCTATAAAAGACAAAGTACATATTTACCAAGAATGAGTTTCTCTATAAAAAAATCAAGTGAGACATATTGTTCTATCTCTATCACTAATTTTAGTGGTAATTACTAAATTTAGCAAGTTTAATATTTTGTATTAAGTCATGCTTATTTGTATAGACGTCGACGATGTTGTTTCAAGCAAAATTCAAGTACATTTTAATGAAATATATCTATTAATGAGTCGTTTACTGTATCTCAGGATCAAGTGAAAACACTTCAAAAAAGGGTGTACGTAGTACTCTATTGGCCTACCTTAGTTTCTTTGAAATCTGCTATCAACTCGTCCATAGAATTATCTTCTCCTTCAAACTTGTCGACTAACATTTTCAAATGATCCGGGAGTAGCGCGGTATCCATCTGTCCGTTAGATTCGTCGCGAAGTATTCTGTGCAAAAAATACTTATTATTCTCAGTACGACTATCGACCGTGTCGTTACCTGCGGAACTCATCGGAAACTATTTACAAGCCCGCGACCGCTTCAGACGAGTAGTCCCGTCGAGCGAAAAGCACTTAGCAAGTGAGGTAAAGCGGGAGCAACTCACTTGAGTATCCTGCGGCGCGTGAACTCTGCGCCGGTGAGCACGCTGAGCGTGGCGAGCGCGGAGGCGGCGGGCGCGGCGCGGGCCCTGCGCTCGAGCGCGGCCCACGACACGCGCAGCGACACCACGTGGCGCGAGCGCGCGCGCACCACGCTGGCGCCGCCCACCAGCTCCGCGCCGCCCGACAGGCACATGTATTGCACTGCAACACACGATTACGGGTTTCACCGGTCGCGCTTGATCAGGTGCTTACGAGTTTAGTCGATCGCTGAGTATAACTCATAATATTTTGTTCGTTTAAAATGCACAAGTATCAAGTCAACAGTTATTTTGGATAGAATACTTACAAATACGCACACTTTTATAGCAAATAAATATAACACAACCATACTTCTATACCAATATTGTGTTTAAAAGTAAGTTTGTTTGTTACCTTAACCTAAACCACTAAACTGATTTTACAAATTCTTTCACCAATATCGATCCAGATGCACACATGGAAAGCTACATTATCAGCGAGTAGCATAGACTACTTATTACCATGATAACCGACATACACGCGGGCGGCGCTAGTAATTATATATTTTTTATTGATTAGGTAAATTGTTACATTGAGGCATTCCAAAAAAGGACATCTTATCAACATCGATGTTTTTATTTAAAAATCGCATAGCTATTTATTAATAACGATGTCAACACACATTTAAGAATATTTGTAGAGTTCAAAGGTACTTACAATTGAAGTGAACGCGAGCAGAAACGAAGGCAGCCGCGTGGGACTTGTTGTATAGTTCCAGATTTATGGGCATTCGGCTAACTGCCCTCACCAAAGCTGTGTCGCCGTAGGTAACAAGACCCGACCAGCGCATCGACTCCCCGCTCGAACAACCATATAAACAAATCTAAAAGATATAACACATCAGAAAAAATGTGCAGTAGTGGACTATCAAAGGCTGTTGATGATGAGGATACTAACAAAAATCCTCAGTCAAATGTCCCATCCCTAAAGAGCTGTTCTTTTAACTGAGTTTAAAATAGAGGTTCATTTGAGGTCACTGCTCGCTGCTTTTTGTTTATCAATATTATATCATTTGTGTCGTAGGTTAGTAACAGCACTTTTTCGTTGGTTGGTTCAAAATAGTCCACAAAAAAATATGTTAAAGGATTTGGAGGGGATAGACAAGAAAAATGTAGATATTTTTTTTTTGCTAAAAAACACTTATTTCTGTCTATGAGTCTTAAGTTTAGAAAACAATTAAACAGAGGTATGCACATTGCTGTTGTATGCATGTCATGGTGCTTTATCACACTATGCTACAAAGTGTACTTAAATGTGCAATATAAGTGCTACTAACCTTCCTAGCATAATCACTGTTTTTATCATGCACCAAGTGTAGTGTAGCTTTGTGTGGTGTATTGGAGATAGGTGCGAAGATTATAGGCAAAGGTCGACATTCACACGGGCCGAAAGTCACACAATATATGCCCCTGGATTCTCGAGGTAGGTCTATGGCAAACCCGTCGCCGACTATCTGACACCTTATGTAAATCTTTTTATTTGTGGCATTCTTCAAACTCAGTTCTTTTCGGCCGGGGCGCACCCATGACATATTGTTGTAGTTAGTTTTTATTGGGAATATTTTTGGTTTGTCTGAGCCCCCACTGATCTCGATAGGAGTTTTATGACCAGTGGCGATGTCTTCGAATATTAATGTTCTGAAAACCATTAACAAAAATTGAACTGTTCAATTACAGCGCGCATATTTGATCAATGAATCCTGCCTTACCGTTCCTCACTTATGGCGGTGGAACCTGGGTTTATGTTAAAGATACAGTATGCATAAGTTAAGCGTGAAACACCGTGCACTAAAGAAAAACACTGCTTCGAATCACATTGAGAGGCAGTAAAACCAATTAATGGCTAAGACAACAGAGTAAGGTCACGGATTTTGCCAAACGTGTTGTCAGAATCAAGAGGGAATGGGCGGGTCATATGGCACGCAAAACCGCTTTTTGGAGCAAGCGGATTCTGAAGTGGCGACTATGGATAAAAAGAGAGATATTTTTTAAGTAACTAAGTAGTGCAGAAACGTAAAACGTGTTTTTTTTCTTTACTTCTCTAAAAAACTTGTGGCTCGAATAAGTGGGATCTTAGACTATCTTTGTAGTTATTATAGCAATCAGCTTTCTAAAAATCCGATTCCTCCTTAAAAGTATCCCATTACTAATTTTGAATAATGCAAAGTTTGATATCAAACTACTTTGCCAAACAAGCAAATTTTTGCTTATTTTACAGTCATTAAGTTGCTAGACTAAAGTCACACAAGCACATGCTTCAAAAATGGCATGCATTGAATGTTTAACAAGTGGCATAACTTAAAAGAACATGTATTTCAGTATTCTCAAAACGGCTGAGGTAATAAATGTTTTTAGGCAGATTCGATATCATGGTGGTACAAATCTTGCTAGCACCTTCATTATACTTACGCATCGCAAAGGGTGTCCGGGGGCCCGGTATACGACATGCTAACCGTCTGATTAGTGCCAGGCCGTATCTCTAACTTAGAAGGCGAGATTTTAAACGGAAAGTTATCGCTCGGCGAATTCGTTTTGAACTTTACAATCCACGTCCCTGGTATAGATCCTTTGTTACAGAAATCTATGTTGATAGGGTCTGTAAAAATGAAAATTGCGTAGTTTTGAGTGACCAATAAAACTAGAATCATTTTCTTTCTCTTTACGTTCTTTTGATGACAACAGTTACATTTAAACTCGTTTAAAGTGTAATGACGGTAGAATAAGATACTGACGTAGGCGTACAAGTAAGAACCTTTTGCTGCTACCTACTCATTAGAAAAAAAAAGTATATAATATTTATATGTGTGTACCATAGGAGTTACTAGAGTGGATAATTAAATTGGACTAACTATTGCTACAACTCTTACCATGAGATAATTGTAATTTATTTGCTGTTGTCTTTATAACAAGATTAGCGATTCCCACAACACCAATGAGATCAACTTTTCTTAATATATTGTTGACACTGAATAGGTTCACATTCAGTATTCCAGTGCATGTTATTAAAGACTCTCCTGTAAAATAAGATGTAGATTATTATAAATATTTTCGTAGGTGTCCATTCTACAATATTTCGAAGAGTCGAAGTTACACAAAAAAAATTTAACACTTAAACAGGAACATTACAAAAGCAAGTCTCATCCATATTTGAGATTATTCACTCGAGTTATATTTAGATTTTATATTTAGATTTTTCTAGGCAGAGTACCAATACTATACAGTAAATAGATCCAACATAAGCAGAGCATGTACTATGGGCTATAGAACACGGTTTAACACTCTTTATACATATTGAGCCCTTACAACTAATATAACATAATTATTGTTATAGTCAAAACAAAAATCAGAAACAAAATAATAAGTATAAATATCATAATTGTTATTATATTGATTATTGCCATTCCTCAAATGTAATAATGAGTTCAATATTCACATGCACATATATTTTGCCATTTTACAAAATTATTTATTTTACTTTAAAGTACTTGTAAATTTTACTCGAATTTTTGTACTCTAAAATTTTGCTCGAATACTCGAATTTTCTGTTTTCATTGTTTTAAAACTGACCTTTTTGTATAGATATTTTGGGTGCATTGAATTTGATTGTAACTCTTATAGCATTCCCAGCTGTAAGTCTACAAATCTGTTTATTTATTGTCTTGCTCTTTGCTTTGCCAGGTGGTTGACCATCCTCGGTAGACCCCTGCCGGTCCATCAACACCTTATTGACATCACTCTTTTTGATCTCCTGAATATTTTTAATATTGAACACACCTTCACCTTCAACTATCGATAGAACCAGCTGTAAATCAGCAGGACAACTACTTATTAAAACAAATGATTTAGTTAGTGTAGTCTCCTCTTGTATTGCGGGAAAACTGATTTTATTGACGCCATCGCAAGACATCGCTTGTATTACAGGCATTTTGATGTCCACTTCTACACTTCCTCTTTGTTTTATATCACCGTCAACAGACGCGTCTTTAAGGCACATAACGTAGTTCAATGTAGTCTTAATCTCCACATTGGCTGTTATATACAATGTGATCTTTTCAGTCTTCCCTGGTGACAACAAAAGAGGCATGCGGGGCAATTCTATCGTTAAGTCAGATCCCTCATCTGGCAGATCTACAAATTGTAGTTTAGCTGTGAGCCAACTGTCTGTGAGTGTTGTGACTGTTAACGTCACTGGACAGCAAGCACCTGAAAAATAGAGATATTTTAATACAAAAGATATTATTTCAATTATGTATTTACATGTCAAAAAAAATATGTTACATTTTTACTGTTGTACTTTGGTATCATTAATTAGTTTTTCTTAATACTCTATGTTGTCGTTAATACATAGTAACACCTTCACTGCTGCCTATTATATTTTTAATTATAATTATAATTAGACTGCTAGCTAATGCACGTAGTGTGTTTTCCGCACTGGAGTATTGTGAATAGTTGACAATGCGTATGAAACGCAACTCTTGTGTTCCTTTACAGCACTTACAGTCCCGACGAGCGTGCTGTAATCCAGCTCTATGAGAATGCTGAAAGCGACTGTTGTGTAGCGTAACGGCAATGGGTGATACATACGTTTGAGTGTATATATGTTTTTTATTTCCGTTTACCTTTCCGTGCCTAATTGAATTTAAAAAAAAAATCTAAATACTCACATTGTTTTCCTTTTTTTAATATTTCAACAAAATTAAATATCTTGTAAATTTATATGAAGTGCAGACTTGCCTTCGACGTTTTTTCGTAATTGAATCGATATTATATTATATTAAATCGATATTATATTTTAATAACAAGTTAGTTTGATATTTATTAGTAGAAGACATATTGCACAAAATAAACGAAAATAATAAACATTTATTACACTCAAACGTATGTTTTACTCATTGCCATTACGCTAGACAACACTTGTGTTTTCAGAACGCTCGTCGGGAACACAACGTGTGTGTTATAAGCACTGCTGTAAACACAGAGTGTAGGTTATCCAGCAGTGAAGGAGATATCATTTACCAATTCATTAGAACCATTTTTGATTATATTTCTGTGGAAAAAACTTTAGTTTAGACGAAACATTGTTATTTCTACAGATAACTTATGATAAAAATTAGTAAAAATAAAAGGTTTTAATAAGATCAACAATTTTAAAACAAACCATATGGTTTGTAAACCACACTGCCAATGAAACAAATGAAAAAGTATCTAGTTATATACTTACTTAAATCATATCAATATATTTCATGAATTATACTTTTATTCATTATGTAGCCATAATGAATAAAAGTATAATTCATGAAATAATACTTACCAACATATCCATTTGCAGCGAGAGCTGATATTTCCACCCATTGTTCTGAAAATCCAGAAGAACTAGTCAATAAAAAAAAAATGTATTGCAATATTTAAATTAGTCAAGAATTAATATTCCCTCTCTACTGAAGAAACTTGAAATGCCAATAATTGCAACTGCAGCAGATTAACGGTAAAATATGAGCAAGATGAACAGCATGACTAGGTGTTGCTTTTAAAATGTGCAATCTGGATTTGATACAATCGTTAGCATTTAATTAAGTCGACATTTTTATAAAGGGAACTATGATGATCACAGGGACACGTAATGTACCTAATGCAAAAAAGCAATGTTTTCTTGAAAATGTATTATAAATAACATAGATCTTATTTGGTTTTCAATAAGTGGGTGTGTGTATCGTAATGCATTTTTCATATAATTTAGAGGAGTAAGCGAACAGACAGGTCGCCTGGTGGAAAGTGACAATAGCCGCCTATGAACGGCTGTAACTTAGGACTCAAAAGACGGTATGCATACAAACAAGTAATTTCTTATATAGCAAATATATGGAACCTCACAAGGGTCATTAATCAAAGTAGATAACAAGATCGTACTTTGCATTTTCAGCATGGAAACAAGTTGCAACTTATGCTTAATCTGAACTTATAGTGGTAACTTCTACAACATAACATGAAATTTAACAAATAGGTATGATCGAGAAAAGAGACAATAATGTTTTGTAGGATAATGTTTACTCTGTTGTTGTTTATTTGTAACCATGTACCATTAACTTTGTTATTTACAAATAATGAACATTGTTAGTACATTAGTAAAAGAGTTTGAAATGGTGAAGATGAGATAATTAGTAAATACTCCTAGAAATGTGATGGAAGCGAGGCCCACAAACCTTTAGCTAAGCTGTCTTGTTTCGAATGTTTCTGTTGCATTACTTCGTGCCAATCTACAGACTTATCTAATTCTTTATATACTACATTTGGGGACCGTACATGTGATGTATTGGCCTCGCCTGAAATGCAACTAGATAGTTACTACCAAATTTTACCCACATTATAAACAAAAATAATATAGAATGTGATGAAAAATTATTCATGAAAAATAAATTATACCTTTGCTGGTATGTAATGGGCTATCTCCAGACTTAAAGCTGATATAGTTTTCTTGAACTGTAGAAAATGTAGAATGGCTTTTACTTGATGGCGATTTGGATCTTGTAGTTCGCTTAGTGTCCTCAATATTTAATTGGTCATCTTTAATTGAATGCTCTGTTACAACAACCGTAGGCACCTGCTCATTATTAGTTTTATATTTGGCAAGGGAAATTACAGTATTTACAGTACCGGATGAACTTGCTGTTTCAGCTTTGCGAGTATCTTTTAAATTCATAACTTGTATGTCCTTATTATTATTTTTTGATTCTGGAATGTTCATGTGAAGTTCAGTGAGCGGCTGCTTTTTACTTAAATGCTTTTTTTTATTGTTGTATTGAAGCATGTCTGTCACACTCACATTTGACTGTTTGCCTGCAAATTATTCAAAACACTTGAAATAGTTTAACAATACTGAAAACTAGTGACACAGTTAGAAGGCTAAGTTTTGGATTAGACTTAGAATTCATGTTGATGATTGCTAAAAAATAAATAATTATATTAAAAAATAAATAATTAAATTACCAAGGTAATCAGCAATTTTCGAAATACTTAAAGAGTTTTCCACAGATCCTTCCGTATCTTCACTAGTTATACGTAAAGATGCTTGCAAATTTTTTATCAATAAATTTGTGTCATTGTTCAAAGGAATACTACTACTTTTCTGTGGTGACACAGTGTCCATTGACATTTGGACATACTTTGGCTTGTCAGGAACTTGACTCATATAAAACTCAGTTTTACTGGGCGTTTTACTATTTGAAGCTTCATTTTGTATCTCAGCCTTTGGAATCACAATACTAGTGTGTGGTGCATAAACTTGGTTTATGTTGTTTGGATTTCCTTGAATATCCTCAATATTTTCACGTGGTTGTCTTACTGGCACACAATCTAAGGTTTGATCTATTTTATGAACTGGATATGTGTCAGATTGTAAAGGTTCTACTGTGCCTGAGTAATTAGCTGACACTGAAAAAAAGACAAGTTGTTTTAGTATAGTTAAACAACATTTTTGTTTTTTTATTTTATTTATTATTTTAGTTTATTTTACCTTCTGTGATGCTAGGCATGCATGATCTATCTGGACTCTCGGTTTTCGAAAGCATTCTGCCAAAGTCTGGGCACCTATTCTTGAAATAAGCTCCAACTGATAGGTTTGAATTGTTCATTCTGAAATTCAAAGTAATTTGCAATGTTAGTAAGATCTGAGCTCAGAAGATTATGAGAGAATTTCATAATCATTTGTCACTCAATAGTTATTAATAATTACTTGATATTTATTATTATTAAGCCTTTATTGCCAACATAGTTACACATATTCATTATTAAATAGTTAAGTGTTAACATGGAATTAAATTAATTAACATTATAATTATATCAATACAATATTATTATTGTTATTATTATGCCGCAGTTATTGGGCGTCGGCGTGTCCTTGTGACACAAAGGCCTCCTCCAGCTCTTTCCATTCTGCTCTTGTTTGAGTTATTCTGGGCCACAGTGGACCCGCGTTCTTTTTTATGTCATCAGACCAACGTTTTCTTTGTCTTCCTCTTTTCCTTTTTGTTTGGAATCTAGGGGTCCATTCTGTTATATCTTTCGTCCATTTATTCCTATTCTCTCTCGTCATGTGGCCTACCCATCTCCACTTAAGTGTTTTGGTTTTGACTACGACATCTTCGATTTTCATAATTTGCCTTAAATCTACAGCTCTCTTTCTGTCTCTTTTTGTGTAACCCAGCATACTCCTCTCCATGCCTCTTTGACATGTGGTCAGTTTTTGATATTTTGTTTGTTTTGTGCCCAGGTCTGGCATCCATAAGTGAGAATTGGTAATATGCATGTGTTGTACACTCTCCTTTTCATAGCAATAGTATATTGTTTACCCTTTAGCACTTCTTTGAGAGACCAAAACCTTTTCCACGCATTGGCTACCCTCCTTTCTATTTCTGAATCCATATGATTGTTGAAGGCAATAAGTTGGCCTAGATATATGTAGGAATTTACATATTCTATTTCTTCCTGATCTACTGAGATGCTTATTTGGGATCTATTTGTTAATATTTTAGTCTTTGATTTGTTTATTGTTAGGCCCACCTATGCTCTCACTTGACAAATCTTGGAGCATGTTTTTAAGGCTTATAATTACTTGATAACTGCAAACTAAATACTTGTCAATCCTGATGGCTTGTCGAGGTCTTCACCATTTTATCTTAGTATTGGTTCACCACCACATAATCTGATGGCCGTTAGAAATAAAAATTGAAATATTTCCTATCCAAGGGTAAGGAATATAAGTAGCGCTTGTAAAGTTGATACAAAAGTTTATTGTTAACTTACTTTTGAAATTACCTTAATTATTTTTGTTTTGTTCAATATTAACAATATAATTATATATTTCAACAAAATCAAATCATTAAAAAAAATCAACAGTTCTTTCAATGTTGAGAGAGTTTCTTTTAAGACCTATTTCTTAGCCTTTCATGGCTTCACCGTGCGGGTGCTGGTTCCATCGCATGATCTATTCGGGCAACACGTGCAAATGTGACTTGCGACCGACCTAGTAGGTTTAGGCAGTAATCGTTGCGACGCGTTAGCGCTCACCTCCACTGTCTGCAGTATTACCTCCTCCATTTAATCATATTTGATGTGAACCTAACAAGGCCATTTTGGATATTTGTTCAAGAAAAGAGCTAACTGAAGTTCTTAGCAATACAAGGTCTTTAAGCATAAGCATGAGCATAAGGTACTTACGACATGCTCTCCGCAAAATGTGCCTGAGTATTGTTCTGGACCGGAAGAGGTGCTTCTCGGATCACTAATGATATCTCATCTGCAGTTAAATCTCTCTGTAATGTCAAATACAATAATATAGGTAAACATGCAACACTTACATTACATAGCTTGATTGTGTACAGTAATCTAGCCCGTGTTAGAAAGCTATTTTTCTAAATCTCTGTATTGTCACTGTTTTTAATGCAGTAACATCACACTATGACCAATAGAAGCTGAGTATCGAAGAAAAATGTTGCAAAAACAGGGGAAATTTATTCCTTTGAGATATGCAGACAAAGTTGTGCAGAGCTATAGATGTGATAGTAATTAATAAATTACATTCAAATATAACCAGGATTTAGAATAATTACATATTTAAGAAAAAGTAAGTGAATGTTTACCTCAAGCTCTATACTAATGTCTTTGCTAGTGTACAATATACACGGTGATTTTGAAAGCGTTTTGGAAAAGAAAATTTTGAGTTATTTATCAGTAACAGAAGCTATATATAACGTTAATTTAATAAAATATATATTTTTTTATCATCAAAGTCGATATTCATATCGTTTACAGAGAAAAAGTCAGAACCAGTAGTAGTAGGCTATTCAATCACACGTAGGTAAATACTACGAATAGAAATATGTACTATGCGTTTTAATATCGAGTCACATCAAATCGTATTCGCCAATAAAAACAAAGCTACCGAGTTGCGCCGGAGTCGTCCAACCAATGACGTCTGCCTCGTAGGCGCATGCGCGGGGCTCACCTGTCATCGTCAGTCAGTCGGTCAGTAATACCATAACATCGTGACGGCACGCTGCATTGATTAGCGCTAAAATGAGTCGACAGTACGAATTTTCAAACGTGGAATACTTCTTGGCAATGGTACAGCTGTACGCTACTGCCAACTACAACTTGGAAGAGGCTCGGCGTTTGTATTCCCAAGCCGGAGCATTTAAATGCACTACGGCTACGTGGAATTGAAAGCCCTCAAATTCCCTCCACACCTACCATCTTGGCTGCAACCCAACGTCTTCTCGACCACGGACAATTTCGTGCGCCTACTCATGCGCAAGGTCAAGGACGTTTTAATTATTATTCGCCGGAGTGTAGTGCGTGCATACCTGGACAATGAGCTTAGTGATCGGACTTAACGCCCCTGGATTTTTTCTTATGGTCGGAAATAAAAAGACTTGTTAATACACGGGAATATGAAAGCCGTGATAATTTACGCATTGCGATAGTGGACGCTTTAAAGTGAAAAGTGATAGAGACACATTAAGAAAATAAAAAAAAACAATTGCATTAAACGTGGACGTTTGTGTATTGAATGCAGCGGACTCCATTTTGAGCAGTTCCTTCGATACAGAGAACTGTAAATAGTGTAAATAGGTATGTAAGTTAATTATTCTGTAGATAGCTCCGATTTTTTAAATACGCCTGAAATATTTATACCTACAGTCCGTTGATAAATTGATTTGTTGTGAAAAGAACAATCGTGGTTAATAATCGAAAAGAAGTTTAAATAAAATAGGTATTTCTGACGGTCCTAAGCCCGTGTAAAGTATGAAGGACAAATTGGAGTCTATCTACGTAAGTACTCGCTAGCTCGCGCCTATAGGTATAGTTTTGTCAGCTGCTGTTAGCGTCGGCGGTGCGCAGCGGCCGCCGAAACGCCCGAAGACGTGTTTCATTCATATAAGATAATGAATGAACGATCAGTCCATTACTACTTTCCAAGTCGATCGAGTAAAAATGAATATTAAAACTGAAACTTTTTTTTAGACAACATTACAATTGATTTAATCATTTTTATTGGTACTATAGATGATTCCAAATTCAAATATTTCGTTTCCAAAACGCTTTCAAAATCACCGTGTATTTTACCTACACCATAGAACATTATTAACTGCAGTTTCAGTTCAGTACCTTAGAATGAAAAGAGTAATTAGTGGCAATAGAGTGCCTCATAATATCTTGTATCTCAGAGGTTTGCTTGTCCATTTGACTTGTTATATTTTCTAAGGCCAATGAGTGACGACCTAATGGCACAGCTATATCCTCTGTCCCAGTTGATCTGCCTGTCATTTCACCTGGATTGAAGTTTGTCTGTAATGTATTATACAAGAATTTAAGTACAGATTTTCTTTTTATTAAAGTGCTTAAGGTTCTTTTAGAAAGACAACTGAAAAGAGTATTTAAAATTATCAAATTGAATTGAATTAAAATAGATGAAAAAACAACAGTAGTTAAAAAAAGTTCTTACGGTATTATCTAAGAAAGTAAAAAAAAATTAAACGTTATACTTACTGATTTGCTAAGAGACAACTCTCCAATCCCAGATTCTCCAAATCCTGTAGAAGATAAATCATATTGAAGAATATATTTTCATTATTAATTTAATAATTACACAGCAAATATATTTATAATTGTGATACCTTCCATTCTATCCAAATCCAAAATCCCAGACGACGATTCACAATTAGCAGTCATATTAGATTTGTTTATACCTGCTTGATTTGTCGTCGCCAAACTAAAAGTAAGAAAGTATATAACGCTTGTATGAATCAGCTGTGACCATGAATAGGAAATTCGTATTGCTAGATTAGGGACTTGCACTTACCGTTTCAAATCGTCGTCATTTATTAACAAGCGTCTTGGCATGTTAAACGATCTATCCTCAGCCAAATGTATCAGTCTCTGTATTTTATTCGGCGTTAAAGGGTTATCCATAATTTACCAACAGTAGTACCTAAATAACAACAATAATCTAACACTCAGAACTAAGTACGTAAATAACGCACCGAATACTTCGTTACATTTCAAATTTTTGTTGGCAAGTGTCAAACCGAGCTCACAAATTATTTTTTTACCAATGTTGCTAGTTTACATGCAAAAAAAAACTGACAATAGCAATTCACTGAAGAAAAGATAAGGACGAAGGATGTTTCAAATCCTTTGTAGCTTTTGAACATATTTTGTTAAATAATACAATTTTGCTAACTTGAATCTTTTACTTATATTTTTTTACAAAAAAGAAAGAATTTTCACGCAATCAGGCTATCGAGCGAGAGAACTCCCACTCCGACGAGGTCTCGCCTCTACTCAACCCACGCCGGGCACTCTGCCAGCGTGTGGAGAGCCGTGTCCACGGTCTGGCCATCGCAGTGGTGGCACTCAGGCGTTGGCTGCTTGCGGATCAGACACAGGTGATCCCCGAAACATCCTTTCCCAGTGATCACCTGCGTCAGTCGGTATGAGAGGGTCCCGTGACGCCTCTCGAGCCAATCCTCCATAACGGGTCTTACCGCCGCGATGACGGCGTGCCCGACTTCTATTTCACCCTAATATTTTTCTAAGAAAAATATTTCTTGAACAAAATTAATACTTGGGTACGTTTTTTTACAACTATTTTCTCTTATCATGGAATCAATAAGAAGTTACCTACGTAGTAACTTTACTACGTAACGGATTATGATTTTGATCTATTTTTATTCCATTCATTATGTTATCATTTCTTTACCAGATCTTTTATTTTGAGGCGGTGTATCGCAATCGAAACGACTAAAACCATACACTGCGCCTGAAATAGGAAAGATCCTATAACAGCTTTTATTAAGACGGCCGAGCCTTTCTTTCTTTCAGGCTTGCATTTATGCAAGATGAGCCGCCTGAGTACCTGGCCTGTGCCCCGGGCCTGGTAGACCGAGAGAGTTCTGAACCTCTTCAGGTCCCGCGCCGGCCTCTCCGTCTGGAGCATAACTTGCTCGCAGACGGAGGTGGCGCAGTTCCATGCGCCATCGTTCCGTATCCTGGCCGCAATAATGGTACCCAACTAAAGAATCCTCACTCCGATGGCCATCACAGGGCCACGCCACGCCTTGCATTCTGGATCTACTGCCTCCCTAAGCGGATATGTCCAAAAAAGACCTGCGACAATCGGAAAGAAAGGTCCCGTGCTGTCACCCATCCCACTAGGCGATGACCGGCTGGAGTGCACAAAGCCAGTACGTAGAGCCTCCAGCCGGGACGATCTACGAGATATCGTAGCTCGGCAAGCGGCCTTTAGCCATTTCATTTTCGCCTCTAAATCCCATGGGAGATCCGCCACCACCCTCTGAGGGTGCTAGAGGCACGCCTTGTTCAGGGTGATCAGAGCTTCCGCCCACACCGTATAGTGCCATTAACTGGACTACCCTGGTCTTTTACTACAACTTATAATGTAATCTTCACTACAGCTGCAGTCGTAGCAATTGCATTTTTGTGTACACGCACTAGCATCAATCTTCGAAAGTATCAGAAAATGAAAACAAAGTAGTGCCAATTACGTATTATAAATCTTAGATATTAAACATCTCTATAGAATTAAGGAATTTTTGAAATTGTTGTAAGTTATTGTAAGTACCTATGTGCATACGTACTGATTTCTTTTATGTTAGGCATATAGGTATCGTTTCTTTGTTAAAAAACACAGCGCCCCTTGGCACGTGCCTACTTTGGCTTAAGGTTAATCCGCCACTGCGTATGCTTACATGTTTTCAAAATGCCTAACGTATCATTCATCATTAAAACTAATTAACCTAATATTTATATATTACCTACATTTTGTATTAATTATAATCGCTAAATTTGATGAAACTGCACGCGGAAAAAGAACAATAGCACTTTGTATTATGTTTACGATGGAGAACGATACCTATAACTTGACACTCCACCTTCTGACTTTTCCGTCGTGGAGGCGTCCCAACCTCGTTAAGTGGATAGGGCGGCAGCACGTGCCCTTTCCTTTCAACATAACGTAGATTTTTTACCGGGCACGTCTGTCTCGGGAAGTACTTGAACTCAATCACTAGAAGGGAATCAAACCCATCTGTAACCATAACGCCTATAGTTTGGACTCGGTTCAGTATACGATTGTGTGATGAGTCATCGAAGAGACTCGATCATCGGACTCTCTACCACTAAGGTGGCAAGTCTTACAGGTGGCATAAAATCTAAATGTGGTTGTGGATGGGGCCGGGATAGGATGCAAAAAAAGATGCATATTTCTTACACTTACAATTATTAAAGTTTACTAGAAATGATTTTCTAGTAAACTTTAGTAATTGTAAGTGTACTGTTTTAAACTTTACACAATAATTCTGTTAGATGTAAAGAACAATGTTTGAGAATAATAATAACTTTATTACCTACTTCAATAGAATAACAAAATCTGAGAATAAAATGCAGCCTGCAATTAATTACCACTAGCTAAAACGTCATGCAGTCATTTGAATAAAATAATTAGTACAAATTTAAAAAAATCATTACATGTTAGATTAAATTATATGCCTACTTGCTATGAATACTATTGTAATGATTAATTTAAGTGAATAAAAAATACATAAATATTCCAAGTATGTTTAAAAGATTTTATAAGCTTTTGTCATATCAGCTATGGGAGAGCCATGCTTCAGCACATTATGGACCAGCTCGACTAGTGATACCATGGCCTCATGGAAAACCAGTGTTAACAATTCTTTTGTTTCATTTCATAGTTAGGGTGCAAAAGGCACAAACATCTTTAATTTTGAGAAGGGACTTCAAAAGCCTGCAACATAATTGAGACTCTCAAAGTCGCAGGTATCTATGGACAACGGTAGTCATTACCATCAGGTCTCCTATTCCATAAAAAAATAATATACTGGGGTTTGAAAGCTCTGTTAATGGAATTTGAGAATATAACACAAACAATTATAGTTATCAATGTTATTTATTTCTAAATATTAGGTACCTATAATCTTACATGATAACTCAATAAAATGCTACAACTTAATGTAATACTATAATTTAGTTTGAGTTTGGACCAGTCAGTGGCAAAGCATTAATTTCTTTGTTAAGCCTTATCTGCTCATTTATTGCTCGCCAAGCATCTTCTTTTTCTTTCTTAGTGATAGGTCTCTTTTTCTGTTTAGCTGCTGCCATTTTCTTATAGATTTCCATACATTCCATATCAACTTGATCTAATTGTTTCTTCAGATTCAGTCTAATCATTTCTTGTTTACATAATCCAATGAGGTGTTTCAAATTACGGCAGTTATCTTTTTTTACTGCAGTCAATTCAGTCTGGCATTTTTTTATTTCAGCCAATATTTCATCATCTGCTGGATTGGTTAGAGGTGGCAGGTCTTCTGGGTCTAAAATACCTTGCTCCACAAGCTCTTTTCGAAGACATTTTTCCAAAGTCAGTGAGTTCTTATAGCTACTTTTTGTGTTAGTAATCTGCTTATTAACTTTAATATCAGGCACTTCATAATTCATCAAATTTTCTTCCATGAGAGCAGAGACAAGTCTTTGTGTTAATGGTCCTGTAATTATATTCTCATTTGTTTTCTCAAGTTTCTTACGAACACTGGAAGTTTCAGGAGACATGGATGATTTTTGTTTATTTGGATTAGAAGCGTTTTGATCTTCAGCAAGGTGTTCATCTGCCCAAACTTCAGAATAATGTCGACCAAGAGGCGGTATCGGTGGTAATGTACTGTTGCTACTCTGAGCCAATAAAGATTCTAAAAACTTAATATCATCTAATGTTACAGGTGCACAATATGGATCTACGGAACTCCAAAATTTGTAAGGAATGTTATTCTTTGGCAGAGCTAATTGTGGCAGTTCCAATTTCACTGAGTTATCAGCATCATTGGCACAGTTTTGAGATCCTCCAGAAGCATTTGATAAATTTTTAAACTTAGGCACTTTGGGCTGATTAGTGAATCTAGAATTGTAATCTCTGGTTTTCACTACTTTATCATCTTGAAACTTTCTTTTACCAGGATACTGCAATTGTTTACCAGCAGCTTTTCCTTTCTTTTCTCTCTTAGACTCATTAGTGTCTATACTTTCTATTTCAGATTGAAAGTATCTAACACGTAGGGCAGTATTGCACAAAAGAGATTCTAGTTCCAGCTGAAGAGAGTCTAACTCATCCATGCCAATCAGTTCGTCATTGGGCCTGGCTGCAATCGCTGTGAATCGAGGTAGGTGGACAGCGTTGTCTTGGATTTTAATGTACGGTATAGGGCACATTTCTACCTTGGTTTTACCAACTGACATAACTCCTGGTATTTTAGAAGGCTTGGTGTAGGGTGATATACCTGGACTTGATGGTTTTCCATTATCATGGCCTTTGCTAGCTAGTCGTCCTTTGCTGTTATGATGCATCCTCTTTCCCATCATCTTGTTTCAGTCAAATTTACCCGCGAAAATACACATACATAAACACATCAAGATTCAATACTTTCAAAACTGTTGTTAGGAACTAAAACAGAAATTATCCTATTTCCAGGTACAATTTGGTGGTGTGAAACTAAACAATTTGTTACGTTTCAACTCGAAAGAAATAATTAACACGAATAAATAAGAACCTGTAGGATTAAAAAACCACCACGACAAAATGGCGATACCGTAAAATAGGGATGCCAATGACAATCTGAAAACGATTTGTCAAAGAATCGATTCCCTGATCCAAAAAAAATGTTGTTCAATGAAATTTCACAAAACCGTTTTAATGATGATGATAATGAATCAATGTTTCAGCCTAGAAAATTGCCATTCAACTTTTCAGATTTGATAAAAATTATAAGTAATGAACTCTCCAACAGATTCAACATCTTAAACCACCAGAAAACCACTAACGAAAAACAAACCTTCCGCAATAGGCATTAAATTTGCCACTAAACATTTTTGTAATTGTAATTACAAACATAATAATAAAAATATCAATAAAATCAAAAAAACAAATAACACAAAAAAAACATATTACGGAAGAAAACCATAAGAATATTATTAACTAATTTCCTTTATTAAAATTTAGTACTGATACTAATGGTTTCATATGATTCTTAGGTACCAATTTGCTTTACAACATTTAATGGGATTTCATATTTGTTGCAGCATTCTCCTTCCAACTTCAAACCCCAGCGTATTCTTAACATAGCTGATAAAAGATTTAACTTCATTCCATTCCTCTGTTTATACTTACAGTCTCTCAAATCAACATCGGCATTGAAATGTAACAGTATTAAGAAAGTAATATCAAAGGTCGCTATTTCCTTGAATGTCGAAGCCCTTTGCCACCTTTTTTATTTTATTTTATTTACGGCAATCCTCTCGGACACCACTCACCGGTACTCACTCAGGGAGTAGCCATGAAGTACATTAAATTACCAGCAATATTGCAACTAATCGCCAGTGATGAGCCGAACCGCTACAATCTCAGTAGATTTGACAGACGAAATCAAATTTCTAAGCGTACCTGAAACATGGGCATAAAAATATTTTTAATTATTGACTTCTCTGAACCAAAGACTTCCCTGATATTAATGAATAACTAACTCTTTCAAAAGAAATAAATTTTTTTAACATTTTAAAGTGATACTCGCTTTCTATTGGCCGTTACAAAATCTATATCCTTTCTCGAGAAATATTCTATCCAACTCCTAAATAATTTTTCAATTCAAACCAGCAGATTCTGAAAATTCAAAACAATCAAACAGTTCAGTTTTATAATATTAGTATAATAGATAGAATATATTTTTGTTGGTTTTCATAAAATGGTTTATTTTTGACATTACAAATCGATTTGTAAGAATACGTCGATACCCTTTGATACATTGAGTTTTTTTATTTGATAAAAATCAATTCAAAAATCGATTTTCTGACATCCCTACCGTAATGTTACCATTCTTACCGCCGTGACTGCCAACGGCCATAAAAATGAGTCATAAGAAAATTAAAAAATATTTTACATTTAAAATTTCTATAGAGTAACAATTAGTAATGCCTTTCTTCATTATATCATTATCATGAATTAAAAATAAATATATATCAAATTGCAGATTTTTTATTATAGCAATAAGTTGTCAAAAGCTGAGCATTTGCAGAGCTGGTAACAGGATTGTCGCTTATGAATGTTTTTGACAATCAAGAGCAATTGAGGACCAGGAATCCCAACCCGTTAAGTAGCATCAGCGCGAGTTGCAACACGGGACCCTCTCGTACCCGCTCACGCAGGTGATTAACTGGACAGAATGTTTCGGCGATCACCTGTGTTTGATCCACAAGGAGCAAACGCCTGAGTGCCACCACTGCGATGGCCAGACCTTTTACACTTCGCTCCACACGCTGGAAGAATGCCCAGAGAGGTTGGAGCATAGGTCACTCTCATGATGGCCATCGGAGTTGGAATTCTCTCGATGGTACAATGATTTCGGCTATGTTATGGAGCGAGAACGCGTTTAACTCCGCCGTCTCCTTCTACGAACAAATTATGCTTACGAGGGAGACGGAGGAGCAGGACCAGATCTGGAGAGGTATAGCTCTCTCCCGGTCCAACAGGCCCGGTCCCGGAATGGGAAAGGTCGCTGAACGACCTTCTTCCTCCATAAGCGCCAGCCTGGGGGTGAGAGGTTGGGGTTTCTCTTACCTTAGCAGAATTGAAGAAGGCTGGGGTGGTATCGGTATCCAAGGCAGTGTGCGGCTTACAATTTATGCCCATTATCAAATGTATCCACAGGCAAAGTTGTGGCAAACTTTGGAGGAGGCGTATTAGAGCAGTCGTCTTTCGGCTGTGATGATGATGTGCATACAAAAATTCTGTTCAATCAGCCCTCTGAGGAAATGAGTATATTAATTGGAAATTCTACGTTCCAAAAATGTTCATTATTGTAAAGTTATTGACAATGTTTTTCTATGATCATTGACTAACTCTGTAAACACTACAGGAAATGTCATTAATTTGTCAAAAATGGTGCGTCGTCGTTTCGGTGCTTTCTTCACGTTTAATGAATAAGTCTGAAGTTCTTCATTTTGATAATATTTTTGTGTTGAGAATTTAGATACGAACTGAATGCAGCACTTAAAGGAACCCTAATGACTGTGCTATGTTTACCAAATATTGCACACTTTCGTATTAAGGAATCTTGCCATCTGAGCAGTTGAATGGCATAAATTTGACTATTTTCACAATGGGAGGCCTACAGTTAGATTGTCCCCTATGTTGCGATAAATCTTTCGACTCTAAAGATGCATTGCTTGAGCATTTAGTTGATGTTACCAATAATTTATTTTGTCCTATTTGCAATAGCAAATGGTCATCATTGGAAGGTCTTACTGAACACTTGACTGTTAATGATTGTCAGTCTGAACAAAATGATGGTATACAAAATATTGTTATATATGAGCAAAGTATGGATAATATTGATAATTCAGAAGATATAAAAGATTCTGATGTAAAGACTCTTTCTCCTGGTAAGTATGGGTTTCTTCAGAGAAACCCTCATATTGGAAAAGGATTCTTTTGATATAAAAAGTATTCAAGAAATTTTAAATACACAGAGAGATTAATAGATGTGGATGTAAATATTCTTGTCCTGACTCTCCTTTTAAAAAATATTTGACAACAAATATGTTATCATATTCTCTATTCTTCTCAATAAATACATATGCTTTAACTTTAGCATTACTTAAAATAATTAAACTTCACACTTTACAGAACTAAGTTCACCAGATACTCAATATATAACAGATGAAACATATGAAAGCCAAGATGAAACAGGTGAAGTCAACAAAATGTATGTTGAGCTGCTAGGTAAACAATTATCTAAGCCTGTACTTCAAACTCAAGAGCTTAAATTAATAAAAGAAGATGGGGAAAATCATTACATGATTGTAACTCAAGATGATGACGAGTTGACTGAGGACAGTGCAATTGTTACTAAACAGAACAACGATGGCACCATATCTTTGACTACAGTTAAGGGTGATCCATTGTTATATTTTCTTATTTTTTAGTTTTATTTTTGTTTGTAGAATCCAATAAGTGTTCTTCTTAATCCTTTTTCTCACCATTTGCAACTCATAATTGGCTGCACATAGTGGTTTAAGCAGTAACCTTACCGCTTCCTAGTCTGCTGAGTGTTGTGGGTTTGATCCCCACGTGGGATAATACTTTGTGTGATCCATAAATTGTTGTTCTGAGTCTAGGTGTTCTTTGTGTCCATTTCATGTATGTTTGTAAAGTCCCCAGCAAGACAGGATGTATTCTTAGTGCGGGAGTTGTCTTAAACAAATAGTATAATATGTATATATACTAAACATCCAAATATGTGTAGTCATTAGTAGATTGGAGGGGTCTACTTCTTATTTTAAATTGATCATGTTTAATTAAAAATCACAAATACTTTTTAAGCAATCCTGTAGTGAGAGTTTCGAGCAAGCTTCCAGATAATGTTATACCTGCCTAAAATGTGAACTAGGGATGAAATAAAATACAATCATCTGTGATAAATCATATACCTGCAAATAACATTGATTATGATGGCATTTATCTTTTTCTATGACCAAACCAAAGGTGAAATTGCAGTGACAAAAACTAATAATTTCATTATATGATTATAATTTTAAAGTAGCAATAATTCCCATGTCTAATTGCGAACCAATTCAATAATCGACTCTATAAATACCTGATTAAATCCAAGAAGGACAACTACTAAGAATCTCCAATAGGCCGTTTACAGGCTTAGTGAGCCTCGACAAGTGTTCACACACACAGGAGTGTAAACGGTGTCTTTGGCTCGGCTTGCGTGAGCTTCGATCGGGAATGCGGGCTTGTCGTAAGCCTTAGAGATGTATTTAGATTGTTGAGGAATAGGTGACATGCCCCTCCAACACAAAGGCGACCCTCCCTCCTCTGACCAGGCGAGGTGATCATGCCTGGAGGGCCGCGGCCCTACAGAGTCCAACGGATTATATTTTTATACTTATTATATTTATATACTTATTATATTTATATAATATCATATATTTTTTGCAATAAATTAAAATCACAGAGACAATCTGGTGAGTGAGAAGTAAGGTGAGACACCGTTTACATAAACACAAATAAATATGAACAGTCAATCCCTACTACTATAAAAATTTAAAAAAATTAAATAAGACAGTTAATAAATAATATTTATTTATCAGAATACAAACTTTTAAGATAAGCTGTCAGGTTTATCTGCTTAAAACTGTTTTTTTCTCTTTCAGATATAAAGCTGGATCCAGACACACTGATAGTTCCAGAACCTGACCTGACAGAAGATAAACAGAAAGAGATATATAGTTGCAATACATGTAAAGTATCTTTCACATCAGTGCTTGACCATATACAGAATTATCACAATGATCAGGAGGTGGTTCTTGAGGTAATATCTTGATTTTTATCCACTGGGAACTGAGAAACATTTTGCATAAGCATCTGACAAAACTTAGAGACACATGTTTAACAAGACCTGAATCAGCGTTGAATGCGGATCCCATTCAATGCAACAAAGCCATTGAAGAGATCACTTAGGAATACTGGTCCAACTTTCTAAATCAATTCCAGCGTATGCAAAAATGTATTAATTGTGAAGGTATTTATTTTGAAAAATAGTACATGTGTCGTAACTTTAGTAACTGCAGTATGAACTAAGTAGGTATATATCATACACAACTAGGGACCTTTATTTTTTTAATTAGGAAAAATAAGCCACTAAGTACTAAATGGGTAACCACTCCAGGAGATAGCAAAACTAATCATCATCTAGGAGTAACTGATCTGTTTTATTAGAGCTATAGTATATACTTTTTGTAGTCACAACAAAACATATAAATTTTTTAGGAAGGTGATGAAGACATAACATTAGGTGATAAGCAGACAGCAAGGCGTGTGATTACAGACACTGGGGACATTGTTGAAGAGCCAATGATTTTTAAATCTGATGATACTGAGATACAACAGGACACCATTGGTAATTTTTAAATAGTTTCAACTTTCACAAGTGTTAGTGTTATTCACTAAAAATATTTTCTATATTTATAAAAATATGTATAATGTTCAGTGGTAATGTGATAGAAAAGCCGAATGTAGCACTGGAATTTATGTCTGGTGTAGGAGGCACTGGTTAGCAACCTTAAGCCTGGTTGAAGCATATCCTTTAAGCACACAAAACAATTTATTTATATCTGTGTCATGATATATTTACTAGTAGGGAAGAAATGAAGTCCAGAAAACCTTTGATGAAAATACAAAAATTAATATGTATTGTTATAAATTTTAGATGCTATTATAAAACATCCTAAATTAGTATTGGACAAACAGGGCCGTGCCTACACTAGACGCTTTGTACAAATTGATAAAGTACCTGAAACTGTCTCTGAAGAGGCACCTCCAACTGTACCTGGTAAGCTTTTGACTATGCTTTTCTTTCTTTTATTTATGTCTATTATTGATGTTGTACTATTGATGCATTTTGGTGTAAATATAGATAGGAAGATGTCGAAAGGTAAAATAGGGGATAAAAGTTGGTATGGTAGAAATTCTAACCAGACGAAGTCGTGCAATTGAGTTAGTATGTTTGTATACGGTAGCAGCTATCTTCGACATCGAACTTAAAACCGAAAGAGCTAAAGGTGGATTGTCACTTTTGTATAGTTTTGAATAAGCTATAAAAATCTATAACTCCGCCTCGAGTAGAACTGCCACCTTACGAAAGACTCTTAGACTTTTTATGATGGAAAATTGAAATTAGAACTCCTATTTAATTTAGTACCGGCTCCTCCCGCGTGTATGTCGGTTATTTTGTCAGAATTTTTAAAATCGGTTAAATAGTTTAGGCTTGAAAGCATAGCAAACAAACTCACTTTCATATTTTTATAAATGTGAAAGTGAATTTGTTTGCTACGCTAATTTATATTTATATTATTTTAAGTATTTATGGATGTGATTAAAAAAATCTAATTAAATTAAAAAAGCTAATCTCATTGTTGTATTAAAAATAATACCATAACACTTTTCTCATGCAGAGAAAACTGATTATCATCAAGTGGTCACAAAACAGCTGCAAATGAAAACGGGTCTTACGGTGAAGATGTACAACTGCATGTCTTGTAACATCACTGTCTCTGATTTAAATGAGTTCAAAGATCATCCTTGTAAAATAAGTAAGTACTTATAGTATAATTTAAGAATTTTCTATACAGCTCTACCGTACAGCGATGATAGTACAACATTAGCTAAGAATACAGTTATATTAAAATGTTACTTCTACTGTCGCGTAACTCCTATCCTGTCTGTCTACGTACAAATAACATTACCAATAAATCTGAAACTTGAATCATCTATATTAAAATAATAAAACTATACTTTTTAATAACGGCATTTAAATTGTGTTTTTTTTTCAGCGAAGTACCCATGTCCTAAATGTCCAGCAGGATATGAAAACGCGAGGTCCTTGTGTGCACATATGAAAGTGCACAAGGAGAATCCAGGTACATCGGGTGCGCTAATTTTACTTGTTCAATACATATTCACTATTATAAATTATGAAAACTAATAGAATTGGTACTTACCTATTTTTCATTATTATACGAAAGAGAGATACATTAATCTCTATTCACTTATATAGTGGCACTAGTCTCTATCAGCTTGTAGTGCCACTACAACCAAAACTTAGTATGATCTAGTTAGCTATGTGCGTCTAAAATAGTCTGTTGTAGGTTTAAGTCATAATAGTCATAATCTTATATACATAGAGTAAAGTATGTCGAGATATGGATCCTTATAAGGTAAACTTGCTTTTGTATATTTATGTGTTTACATTTGGGTAACACAGTTGGACTAACACTGAATTGAATCAAATCATTGATAACAATAAAGCTAAAGGAAAACTTCTAATTTTGTAGACGGTAGCTCGTCAAATATATACAAATGAAAATGACTCTTGACTGTCTTCTCCTTGCCTATTCATATGTATACATTGTATGTAGTATATAATAATCACATCTCAGACACCGCCGTCTGATCCCAAACTAGGCAGAGCCTGTACTGTGGTAACCAGAATGCTGATAAACATACTTAAATAAATTATTAACTTACAGATGGCAGTCCTGCAGTGGTCTTACATTTTGTATGTGAAGTGTGCTCTACTGTATTTAAAACGAACAAATCTTTGAAACTACACAAAAGGATGCATGATCCCATCAAGTGTGTATACATATATAGATATAATTAATTAATCTGATAGATATATTTTCTTTAAATAGTGTAACAATTTGTGGATCACACAAAGTGTGGTTCCATGCGGGGATCGAACCCACAACACAGCGCAGCAGCAAGTGACGAGGCGACCGCCTTAACCACTACGACATCCGTGCTGTCGACTATCTTAAATAAATTACTGCATTTTGAATTAAAATAACATGCCTTTCGAATAAAATTTATTTGAATTTCGAATTGAGCGCCAATCCACTGATAATTAAATCTAGAAATGCTGGTTTAAAAATCTGCAACTTCATAGGTAAAGATTTATTACAACAACAAGTTTTTCTAACACATTGCATAAATACTCTGCGGTATAAATTGTAGTTTTGTTTTTCTATTGTATGTGGTAAAAACAATACTTTTCTTTTCCCACACAAACCACAGAGTAGATGAAAACACCTGAGCCCACCTGTCAAAATGATCACAATAAAATACGTTTCATTTATTTCTATTTTCTATTGGACTGCGGCAGGCCAATAACTTTCGACAGTACGAAGTCGGGGCAGCTAACATATAATAAAGATGAATATACTTTTAATAACATTGTTATTTTAGATCGCGTCCCATTCAGCCTCCTGTGAATCATCGCGGTAACAAAGACGTGTCTGGACATGTATACCACTGTAACATTTGCGATAAAGTGATCCCGTATGACTATCGCGCCGTACACGAGAACTCGCACAAGTCGAACAACAAGATGAACTGTGGTGTATGCAATAAGAAATTCACCTCCATGGAGTTTCTGGAGATGCATATGAATATACATAATTTAGATAAAGTAAGTCTTTTTTTTGTGCCATGCTATTACTTCTCTATGTTTGACAAGATGGACAAATAATTTAATCGAGTTGCCTTCTTTTTTGTACGGGACAGGGGATAAATGAGAAGGCGGGACTGGAGCCCAAGTGCAAGTTTATTTTACATCTACTCGATCGTCACGGTGACTGGCCGGCACTGAAATCTGCACCAATCGCAACGCCGAAAGCGCTCGCTGTCGAGAGCGACTTGATGTGAAATAAACTCGCTCTCTGGCTTTTGATGTTAAGTGACTACCGTCGCCCATAGACACGAGTGAGTTGCCGCCCTCGGAATCCGGATTCCCCCAGATTCAGGGGGAGAGATAGGGATCGGCTCCGGTAATCTCACTCGCTCGGTGAAAAGTCTCAAAAGAATTGCTTTACATCAGTTTTCTGTGTGGCAGAAGCATGACAAAAGGTCGTCAAATTTTTCACGTATGTTTTTTACCATCTAGTTGAATATAATAATATCTTGTATTTGTAAAGCTGTGGAGGCCTAATAATCTATGTGGTGTATGTTCCTATACGCCTCTCGTGCCTATGTGTTGTGTCACGTGCACGGGCGGCGGGGAGACAGTCGTGTGCGAGCCGTTGGCGAGGGCGGATGGGTTTACCCTAGCTGCTGGTGACGTAACAAGCCTATACCTAACCCTTGTGTTAGTACGAGCATTACAATGAAATAATAATGTAAAGCGAGGAAATTAGTCTTGGTGGATCATTGCCGAACAGTTAAATATACATATACTAATCAGCGCGAAAATTTTAACTACGAGAAGTGTCTTTGTCTCCGGAGGATTTGCCCATAATCGCCACGCTGGGCAGGCGGGTTGGCGATCGCAGGGCGTGCCTGTTGTATTTTGCTACGCTTATTGAGATGGATATACCGCCATCGGTCGGTCGCTAGAGCCTCGTTCGTCGTTGAGCAGGATGCACCGCGGGCCGGTGAGATTGGCTTGGGGCGAAAGATGGTGGTTCGCTCCCTCACACCTGTCGAATTCCAACCACCGGAGCAAGCTGGGTTTCGGAGCGGATGTGGCACCATAGACCACATTCACACAGTGCGGCAGATTATACAGAAGACCGAAGAATATAATCAGCCCCTGTGTCAAGCATTCGTGGACTATGAGAAAGCCTTTGACCCTGCAGCGTTGCCAAGTAGATTGGCGATACATCCAAGTGGTGAAATATTTCAATGAAGCCGCCACCATGTCCGTCCAAGTACAGAATCAGCAAACAAGTCCCATACCGTTGTATCGAGGAGTGAGACAAGGGGACGTTATTTCCCCGAAATTGTTTACAAATGCAATGGAGGACATGTTCAAGACCCTGCACTGGAAAGGGCGTGGCATCAATATTAATGGCGAATACATTACGATACACAATACTTGCGATTTGCAAACGACATCGTCATCATGGCAGAGACGTTGCAGGACCTACATCAGATGCTGAATGACCCAGCTGACTGATGAACTTGGATAAGGCAAGGCCATGTTCAACGAACATGTACTACTGGAACCGATTGCGGTACACGGTGCCGTTCTCAAAGTTGTTCAAAATTATGTGTACCTCGGTCAGACATTGCAGTTAGGTAGAAACAACTTCGAGGACGAGGTGAACAGAAGAATTCAGTTGGGTTGGGCAGCGTTGGGGAAGCTACGTCGAGTCTCGTTTCTCTAAGGGTTCGCATCAGGAATGAGGTGATCCGATAGACAACCAAGGTGAAGTGGCAGTGGGCTGGCCATATTAGCCGCAGAACCGCCAACCGTTGGGGAAAACGAGTTCTTGAGTGGAGACCGCGTATCGGCAAACGTAGTGTAGGACGCTCACACGCCAGGTGGAGTGACGATTTGCGCAAGATGGCTGGCAGGAGCTGGATGCGAGAAGCCCAAAATCGATCTAAGTGGCGTGCAATGGGAGAGGCCTATGTCTAGCAGTGGACTGCAATAGGCTGATGATGATGTGTCTTTGTTAGATGGCATTAAAGTACGTTTTTCGTTGTATGTTGAAGTTCTAACATATTATCAAGAGTATATTTATTTTATTGCAGGTACCAATGAATAAACAAGATAAAACACTTCCCTATAAATGTTTATTTTGCAATAGAAGATTTGCTAGACCACACGAGAAAGTTAAACACGAAAGAATTCATACCGGTAAGTACTGCCTAATTCCTTTTGATTTATTTTGAGAATTAACGACTTTTAAAGGATTGCATTTAAAGTTCAAAGTACTATTGGGTACCGTTTGGTTTTTCGCTAAGGAGAGATTTAATCGACACTTTTCTGTCCCCGTAAAATGCTGTGTTGTAGAACGTTTTTTATGTTTGGGGACCTTCATGGTACAGCTGTGCTAAAGATGAAACGTAACTAAGCCGCCGACTAAGGCTTTAGATGGCGCCACGCAATACATGTCGAATTCCGTGTCTGTCGTCAGGCGAGAAGCCGCACTCGTGCGAGATCTGCGGCAAGTCGTTCCGCGTGCTGTACTGCCTCACGCTGCACATGCGCACGCACACCGGCGCGCGCCCATACGAGTGCGCGCACTGCGGGAAGAGGTACCGCCCGGCCCCACCTGCCATATCCTTGCCCAAACATTGCTTCGCCACGTTATCGAAACAAAAAAAAAACTTCACCTCAAAATTTTAGAAATTTGGGCACAAACCAAAAAATTTTCAAAGTAGAAATAAAGAAGTTATTAGGATTTTAAGATGGCCGCGTGAAACGTGGAGGGTTGCGGAAAGTTTTTTTACTGTTGAAACGCACACTGTAAAGAGGGTTGGCGGCGTATTAGTCGCACACATTTTGTCATCTACAATTTTAAGCCCACTAGCGTAATATTCTTATTACGTCAATGGGCTTTAGTGATTAGATAGGATAATTAGGACTACATCAAAAAGATGATATTAGATAAGAGGGAAAGGCAATTGTAGAAAAGGGATATTGCTTAAATGGAAGGATTAGGGAATTTAAACGAGAGCTCGATCAGATCACGATTGCATACCTGTAATCCGAATTCGCTATTGCCGGAAAGTCCGATCCTTTAATATATAAACTTGTAGCTATAAGTTCATAAACAGTTTTTATCACCTAAATTAAATTAATGAATAACGTATAAATGAAAGATCCCCGAGATGTTTTTATTGAGCAAATTACCGAAATCATTGGATTCGGCTCGACGTGCGATAAGTTTTATTAAAGGCTTACGTTCCTAGTTAAAAAAAATGATATGACGATGACTGCAAAATAAGTAATACCTCCTTTACTACGTTTGTTTGTCAAATCTTTGGAAATAAACGTTATAAATTGCTTCAAACGACATTGATGAATAAATTGAACCGTAAATTTGTTCAGACCTTATTTATTTAGTATTACAAAATATAAAAAAATAAATGTATTCGTACAAGTATTTCGAAATTCAATTCAAATAATTATTTGGTAAATGTTTCTCAAACTAAATTCTATCTAAAAATACCCACGTAGCTAATATTGGTTCTCTGTAGCATAGGGATATTATTAGCATTACTTTTGTAGCGTGTTTATTAAGAGCATGAACCCTGACCGCCATAGGTTCAAAGCTCACAGCGTGTACAGCCACCACCTGCTGACGCACTCGGACGTGCGCGCGTACAAGTGCCCGTACTGCCCCAAAGCCTTCAAGACCTCCGTGCAGCTCGCCGGACACAAGAACTCCCACACCAAACCCTTCTCTTGTCAACATTGCAACAGGTATGTCAACATAAACTAGATTCTTTTGGAAATAAATACATACATATAATACATAGAAAACACCCATACTCCGAAACAAATATTTTAGATCGTACCAGAGAACCAGAACAGAATTGAACCAGAGACCTCAGCACAGCAGGAATACTTGTTATTGCCGGGCGCTTCGCTTGATGTCTTATTTTGAAAATGACAATCTTCCATACAACCGTACATCCCTTATAAAATAAGGGATGAACGGAACCCCTTAGGGTGAAATTTCCTAAAAATCCTTGCTTATTGGGTGCTTACAACATAAAAAGTTGTAGCTGCCAAAATTTCAAGTTTGCAGCCCCAGCTGTTTAGGCTCTGCGTTGATGAATCAGTCAGTTAGGGAAAGTAATTTTATATGTGTAAATGTATAGATGAGTTGTTTTATAATTCGACCTAAAAAGAGGCTATTTGACTAAGTTTAGAAAATGTAATAGATAATGAAAATGTTATACATGATATTGTACATAGATAATAGATTTTTAAAGATTAATAGATCTATCTATAAATCTTCGTGGGGAAGAGGGGGGGGGGGGGGGTACAATGCCCCAAGATCATGACGTAACGTAATGACATATTATGACCTAAACAAAACAGTGCTAACGTGGTTATAAAGTGAGTCGTTATTTTTGTTAAGATATATTCGATTAAATGGTGTGTAGTGTCAAAACGTAAAAATACGTCTAAAACGACTCCACACAAACTGTTTGTTTCTGAGCCAACGGATCCCAAAAGACGAAAACTGGTTACAATTATCAATTAGCGATATTTATATCACTTCTTTCAGAACCTAATAGAAAATACTTTTAGAAATAGTAAAACACTCAAAAAACATAAAACTGCGTACCTAAAATCGGTCGAAGGAATCCACAAATTAAGATTGTTTGTTTTGTTCACTTCATATATTTTAATCTTTGATTCACTTTTGACACTTGTGACTTTGTGACTATTGTGGTGATGTCATAGACATGTGTCCAATCATAGAACGTTCCCGTCCGAGATAAAATTAATAAAATAAATTAAATTTATTTCGTTAAATTTGCTTAAAAATTTACACCAATTAGCTTTTAAAAAAAATGCTTTTCTATCCTATCACCTAATAGGATTTCCATAATTTGAACCTATTAAAGATGAAGAGCTCAGTCAATTTTTCTTTTCGTCTGATATTATAAAATATTATTATAAAATATTACCGAATTTAGTTTAATAACAACACGAATATTTATCGTAATTGGAAGTCGGTAGCATTTCGATCCTACTCGAGTTTAACGATAAGCTCGTTAACCACTACTAGCGTCAGAGTGTCAAACTTCTGTTATTGAATTGCCATAGTTCAATATTCGGTTAAACACCAGAGTCACAGAGCGTGGGTATTACCAGCGTTTAAATGTAATACCCGTAATTGTCCGTGTGGTGACGGATTAAGAATACAGATTGTCACCACCCCTATTCATCCCGTGGGTGTTGTAAGAGTCAACTAAGGGAAAAAACTACGCAGAACAACAACACTGCAGAGAGAAGGAAAACTTGACACAAACCCTATACCAACCCGTCTGGCCAGCGTGGTATAGTAGGCCAAAACCTCCTTTCTAAGGAGAGGCTTATGTCCAGCAGTGGACTGTTAAAGGCTGTTGATGAAATGTAATACCGGTAATCGCTTATTATGGGGTCACTATACGTTACTATGCTAAGAAGACTTGGCAAACTAAGATACACAATAATAATAAGTTTGAAAAAGAGTGGCCATATTGCTAACCAATTCTTTGTTCTTTCAGGCCGTTTGCATCTCTATATGCTGTTCGCATACACACTGAAACGCACAACCGCCAAAACAACCTTAAATTTTCATGTACAATGTGTGGAGCGAGCTATGCCCGCGCCTTTGCACTCAAAGATCACATGAAACAAGTGCACAAGAAGGACTTGGATAGTGTGGACAACTTAGTCGAGGTAAATATTTACCGAAATGCTTTTTTTTTTTAGCGAGAAGCATGTTATTTATCTATTTAAGACTTAATGTACATGTTGTACAAAGGCGGACTTGATGCCATTAGGCATTCTCTCCCAGTCAACCTTCAGGTGATGTAGAAATTTGATGCGGTAGGTGAAAAATAAAATATTGAATTTAACATAATTTAGGTCCAGAGACATACACAATATATAAACACACATACATACATACTTAAATCTACATAAATTTAATAAAATATATAAATACTCAGTCGGGTACTAGCATTGTGACTGTTCTGCAATGCAATAGTAAAATATTTTTTGTAAATTATTAGTCATATTTTTTGTACAAAAAACACGTATACTACGATATACGAACACGTATACTACACATATACGTGTTTTGTCACAATATTTAAAACATTTCGTTCCTTTTCACCGAGTGAGATTAACGCAGGACCGACCCATCCTAACTCTGAGAGGGGGGAGGGGAGAAGGGTCAGTCAAACGGCGCTAACGTACTTGTGTCTATTGAGTTGCAGGTGTATGGATGAGTGTATGGTAATGATGGTCTGTCTCCATGGGGCGGTAGTGTCAACTTACCATGAAATGACCCAATTACTCGGTTTCGGTTATTCTACAAAATTACTCGTGATTTTAGAAAAAATGTCGGCACAATATATTAATATATTGTACAAAATTTTCACTTGATTTGTTTTCTAAAAAAATTATATCGTAATGGTAGACTGCTTCTCGCCGCGGACGCAAATTTCAAAAAATATTTTGCCCAGGGGCATGCATTCGAGTTCAACTATATAGCTTGTAAGTCTCCAAGTTCTGAAATTCCTGTAATAACAAAAGATAATGTTGTAGAATAGTACAGAGGAAACGGAAGATTGGATGACGAGAGACACCACAACTGAGCCGGAAGGGATGCAATCGCTCAACAAGGAATTACAAGAAACTGTAAGTAAACACCCTTTTTTAAAGCCTTCAAAACTTATAAATCTTGAACAAATTAGGTTGATTCGTGTTAAATGTCACAGGAACGTGTCTATCTATGCAATTAATTGATTTAAAAACCAGTGTTACCGAATGTACATTCCTACCAGCACAATTCGATAGTAATACCTATGAGTGATTTTTCATGCAGTAAGTGGGATAGATATTTCATTCGAAAAAATCCCCTAAACACATTTAAGTTATGATCAGTACAAAGAGAAGAGCATCAGTCCAGTATTAATGAATCCAGTACTATACATACTGTACTGGAAAAATAAGTCCACAATGACAATAGAGGTTCTTTATAAAAGTTGTAAGTTTTAATATCAAAGCACTAGGTTAATCGCTTTCTGGTATAATAGTTCCTGGGTCTTACGCTTATTGCTCGTGTTAGGTTATCATCAATATATACGTGTCATTTCATTAAACTTTTTGTTTTCAGATTACCGACTTAGAAATGAGTGCCAACGAACTAATAATTCCATAAACGTATAGTTATAAGTTTAATATTTGTTAAATCATGTATTTAATGCTTTGTTCGTACATTATTGACGCACTATTTTGTTTCATTGCAATGACTTCAATTTCTTTATAAGATTAAAATATAAAACATCGAATAACTAGAAAGAAAGTAATGACCTCCCATTTTGAATCCTTACAAAACATTTCTTGTTATTACAAATGAGTCATCATTTGTTTAAATAGAGACGTAGACGCACGCTTGGGTTTTTTTTATATTGTAATTCTCCGTGCTCAGTATCACATATTTGATCAAACTAAATTAAAATGTATCTATGTATCACTAATATTTCTATCTTTTAAAATAAAAACTACGAATATTAGGAATCTTTAAAAATGTCATCTTGTGCTACGAATATCAGACAATCTAGTCTCTATTTTATAAACAATAAGGTCCAAATTGTTTGGAAGCTTGTAATTTAGACGTTCTCATTCAGTCTTATATTTCAATGAAATCTAGTTTCTGTTAAGTATTATTTCATATTTGTAACTAACATTATGTTATTTTTTTCATTAATTGTCTTACAAGATTATGAGTATGCATAAAACGCTAATTGAAATTCATAATGTTCTTACGGAACCAATGAGGATTAATCTTTAATGATGTAATAAAAGTTTATAAGCGTTGATTTGACAATGTTTGTATATTTTTTGTGCACAAATGTAGTTATAATATTATGTATTTAATATTTCGTTACACTGCGACAGGTTGTTCTATAACAAATAGAGCCAGCCTATAGGCCAGTATGTTTGTATTTATACCGTTATTGATATTTTATAGCAATGTATGGATATTAAATATTGAAGAAAATTATTTGAAACAATTATGTGACTTCTAACCAAGTGATAACATTTACGAAACTAGTTTAGTTAAAACGTGTAGTTAATATAGAATAGTAATAACGTTATAGCTACTTGAGGTGTTAGATTAACCACAGCGTTCTTCATAAAATTGTTCTGAAAATTCGAAAATATTTATGCTCATACGCAGATTTTTTAAAACATGACTGACACAATCTTCTTTACACCAAGAGGCGACTTAAATTAATCAATAGAAGAGCTTTAAGTCCACCATTATAAATCGTCAATCAATAAATCGTGTAAAATTCAAAGGGTATAGAAATTCTTAGAAGTGGCTAGATTTGCGGCATGGTATTTAAGAAAAGATTTCAAATTATGTTAACGGCTCTGTATAATGACAAGTAAATGTCGTAATACTTAAAATTCTATAATGTATTGTACTGCAGTACACAACGTGATACGACTTCGCTTCTTCAGCTTTTGGCAATTCTTGGTGTATTTTATTCTACATCTCATAAACAGTTGTCATTTAAATACTTCCTTAAAAAAATATCTGCTGGCAGATCATAAGTCTATGATACCTTTAAGTCATTCTAATTTTGTACACTACTTACAAACAAAAATTATTTTCATGTTGCTTTGGAGAACATTTAAGCCACTAATGCTACTGTATTGCCAATAAAGATTTATATTTTCAATTGATAAAATACCATCAAACAGTTACAATAATGCTTAATCATGTTGTTAGATATATATATTATATTCAGGTAAATTTATTCTGTATTCTTTTTACACCTCCAGCCTTTAAGTGCCTTTTACAGTTAAAACCGATACACCTCAACACAATACATTAAATACCGTAGTGGTTTATTCCCAGTAGTTCCATGGAGTCAGTTCCACATGGAACTTTTGCAACCCACTTTCGATACGTTCCATACATGGAACTAGTGGGAATAGCTATTTGAAACGGAAAATTATACCCAGTAGTTTCATGACGCCAGTTGCAACCTGATTTGTTCTATTTTAAGACACTAGCTATTTGTCGCGGTTTCGCTCGACTGATTATTGCTTATTTCGTGTTTCTTTTTCAATATATATATTGAGGACAAGAGAATGGGGTACGATATTAACGATGTAACGGGTAACGATATTGCTGGCTGCTATTCGATTTCGATTTCACCTACGAAGAGCCCTGTAGTATTTTTTTCCATGTACAACATCACCACTTTTATAGTTTTTTTTTATATGAATAAAATAAATAGTCATTAATGGTTTTTTAGAAAAAAATATGTCAGCTGTAAGAGTAGTATAAAGTAACATTGAATAAATGGGACATTAATCGTATTTTTATTGTTACATCAGTGCCATGTTGAACCGTGTTCATGTAACTACTGGGAATAAACCGCCGTAGTAGGTAGTACACCTGTGACATATATATTAGAAAAACTTTTATGAATTGTATTCAAATTAAAAAAATAAAAGGTTTTACTCACGCTATTCGTAACGTTAAGTTATAACACGGCCTCACAGAATACAGCTTTTAAGCAATTATCAACCTGAGCTCAAATCCTCTCCCTCTGATTTAATGGAGAGGACTCAAATGGTGGCAACGCACTTGCGACTTTTAAGTTACAGGTGTTCGTAAACGGATGGCTGGTCGTTCCACCCCTTGAAAAATGCTCCCGTCGGGAGTAAACTAGTGGGGCATCCTCGAAATTCTCACGTGAGTAAAGCCGTTTATCTGTAACTAGCTGGTACCTGCGACTTCGTTCGCGTGGAATTTGAAAAGCGTTGCCTTAGTGGGTTCGATTCCCGGACCGGGCCTATTATTTTGACATTACAAACACGCTTTAATTTTATTTATTTGTATTGATAAATAATACATATAATACTTGGGAAACAAACCGTAAGAGGTACCTTGGCGTTATAAAAATTAAGGTAAGACCTGTGTGCTGGTTTGCAAAAGTAATAGTTTAATTTTTATAGTTTTCTTTGAGTTTACTTTTCTTTTATTTATAAATTTGATTTGTCATTACATCAATTATAAAAAGGGTTATTCGTTTGGAATATAAGTTTAATGCTTATTATAAAATAGGAGCTCTAATACTATTTACATGAATTTAGGCTACGTTGCCACCAGAGATGTGCGAGGTAGCTGGGCGGTGCGAGGATGTGTAGCGGGCTAGTTTCAAGTGCGAGCTGCTATTTTTTTGCTCACGTTTGTCCCTAGCATACATTCCTCGTAACACATCCCTTGCACACATCCTTCCCTTGTTTTGCATATTCAAAAACCTCGCTCCGCTCCGCTGAACGATATCTCTGGTGGAAACGCAGCTTTGTTCTTTTACATATGTCTTGACATTTTAATGAATTTGTTTTTAATGTATTACAGTTCCTCTTAGTGTATAGAAAGGGAATATGTAAATATAAATTTTGTTACACAAATGTCCTGCATAGTAATGTAAAATAACATAATAATGTTCCAGTGGATGCGATGGTATTTCATTAAACTAAAACATATGGATAATTATTCAATTACTGTAATGAATATAGCGTTATTTTTTCATTTTTTTTCAAGCGAATTTTTTTCAAATTATAAAGTATTAATATAAACACTAAACACCATTCTTACATCACTACGACAAAGATAATCGCTTGTTAAAGAAAAGTGGATTTAATATTATATTACATAGTTTTCTTCGCAAAGGTGAAGATAAAGGTCATGAAACATGATGAGATAAAAATCTAGTTCAGGAGGGCCTAGTGTAAGTTTATTTCACATTAACTAGCTCGCGACGGTGAGCACGTTCGTCGTTGCGATTTATGGAGGTTTTTAGTGCGGGCCAATCGTACCGCCGAAAGCGGTTACCGTGACGATCGAGTACAAGTGAAATAAACTTGCACTTGGCCCTCAGTGCGGTTACCGTGACAATCGAGTTAATATGAAATAAACTGACACTAGGCCCTCTGAAACGAATAAACACTTTGGCGTTCTACGTCCGATTGGGTTTAATGACATACGATAATATCCATTTTTTTATACGACTGTACTGTATGTATAGACAATGTGTGTGTATATTGTAAATAATCAATTGACAATATACTTATAATTGTGATGCAACGTGTTGTGTCTAAATCTAATAAACAATATTAAACACAGATATTGATGTAGTCAGTTAAATTACCACCCCAAATAGACTGTTGTGAACAAATGTAATATGCAAAGTTAAAAACAATAAAAAAAGTCGTTTAGGACCTAAGTCCCACCACCCAAATCTAGAACTATTCATTAGCCTAATTTTTTTTCAGAACAATATTTTTTTAACAGGTGGTCTCTTTGTTTGGCAACTATACCCATAATACAAAAATGGTTTACCGTTCACTATTGACAAGTTAAGTTAATATTGAGTATTTATATTATTAAAAATAATTACTACCTTCAGTTATGAACCTGGGCTAGGACACTTTCACAAATATTCGAATTTTATTATTGAGATTTATGTTTGATTTTTATTAGTAACCCAAACTGTAGACCGTCACACTTGCAATCATAAAGTAGGTTTGTGTTCCTTATAGATGGAAAATCTTATTTCATATTTTGGCAGGCCAATCACATTCATAAGGAAACAGAGCTTGGCACCAGCTTAAAAAAGTTGCCCTAATTGCTGGCGAAGGACTGATAAAGCAGCATCACATTCAACTGCAGACCGGAAAACCTCCGAACCATCTAGTCTGTCTTCGTTGCAATCTGAAGTAGCTAGCAATGTATTGCATCCGGAACAACAAAGCTTAGATACATCAGACAGTATACTGCTGCTTATTATGTAAGAGCACCAACCACACAACATCAATGTTTTTTTTCCTGGTTGTAATGATTCCAATCGACTTTTATGTGAGTACAATTATTATGTTCCTCCAGAATGTAGAATCTGTAACTACCATTTATATACTCTGGGACTTACTTTAAGGATGACTCTTGGGATTTACTTTTAGGATCAATGTATAATTCTATTAAAACATTTAGTGGAGCACAAATTGGTAGACTCTGAAAATGTCACGGAATTCTCTATTTTAACTTACAGCGACTTAATACTTTCTTGTGGTACATACCAATTAAAGAAACTTCGCTCGTATTATAGGGAGCATATAAGAGTTAATGGTTGGATA